TGCAGCTAAACCATCCTGGTCACTTTTTTATAGCTACTCATTTGATTGAGTTCTAAATTGTAAACCTGTATTCTGCAATAACTTTTATTTACGTTAAAACTTTACACAGCTTCCAAAAGACCGCTTGATGGTGTTATGAAGATAACATTGATGACAAGATTAGTCTGTATTTTTCTCCTGATATTGATTCCTTACTGATTTATAATTATTATCGTTTCCTTTAATTCCTAGAGGAACGTAGGGCCTCAGCTGTGCGTCTCCATTGCGTTCGGTTCTCTGCGAGAGTTTTCACCTGTTCCCAAGTCTGCCCACACGTTTTCATCTCCTCTTCACATGACCTCCTCCAAGTCACCTTCGCACTGACGACCAACTCGCCGCTTCCCTTTCGGGTTCCACTCGAGCAATGGCTTGTCTAGTGATGTCACTTGATGGTTTCCTCAGATTATGGCCAATCCATCTTCATTTCTTTACTGATGGCTAAGGGTTGAAACTAGGGTCGACGTCTCGAGTTATTTAGAAATAATTAGCTAAGAGTTACTGATCCGCTTGAAATTCGAACACAGCTCTTTTCACTCTTGTGACCCTACGTTTTATTGGACGATGCTCTTGTGGTAAAGTGTTACATGCTGCATTGGAGTCTAAGTGAAGAAGACTAAAGGCAGTTAGATTTTAGCCACATCAATTTCAGGTTTCCTAAATAGATTTAGATGAACACTTGGATCCTAATGACACTCAGCGTCAAACAAAATAGTATCACACAGATTTCACAGCCATTTTAATTCTAATACACATATAGTTTTCCTTGAATTTCTTAGATATACTTAGCTAGTATATTGCAATAGACAAAAACTGAGATCTATGACGTCCTGTCTAGGAAGGCATTTTATTGTGTCTCCTCATTATTTGGATTGGACACAAGAAACTAGTGCGACATGTCTAGTCCTTTCTTTGGTGCAGACTGAATTCTATCAGTCAGGTTTGCAATGTGGCCACCATTCTAGGTAGCTTGCCATCATGGTGTACATTGATTTGGTGATACTAGATGGCTGGAGGCAATCGGCAATCTAATATCATCAAATGAATGTACACCATGATGGCAAGCTACCTAGAATGGTGGCCACATTACAAACCTGACTGATAGAATTCAGTCTGCACCAAAGAAAGAACTAGACACGTCGCGCTAGTTTCTAGTGTCCAATCAAAACACCCACTACAATCCTACAGAAGGTCAATTACTAGCCCGAATAGCTCAGTGGTAACGTCTCTGACTGCAGTACTCACTGGGTGACGCGGGTTCGAATCTCAGAGAGGTGGGACATGATTTCCTTCAAGGTTGGAGATACGCCTTGCTGACTGGTGAGTGCCAACTAGCACGAAACCCCAGGTCAAGCAAGGCTTCCTGTGGCAGATTGCCTCCAACCATCTAATATCTCCTTATTCTGCTTTTCTTGATTCTTATCGAATATTTTAATCACTATATGTTTTAGCTAGACTGATTAAACATTTTGGCAAGCCATTCATTCAACTTACACATGTTATATATAATGTGAATAAGAAAAACTGATAATTTTTTACTAACTAATGTTTCAAAGTACCATAGGATATGAAGAATATTTATATAAAAAGGAACATTAAGAAATATGCATACATGTAAATTAGCATAATCTGGCTTGGTACGCATAAATTAAGTGATTCTGCATGTTGTATGCGTAAATTTGTGGACGAGAAAGGCCGAGAGAGAAAGAGAAAACTTGTGAAAGCAAATATGCTGAGTTACACCGATTGTTATAGCAAGCATATATATATTATATATTATATCATAGTATAGATGTATGCATGTAATTTGTGTACTTTATCGTCTCCAGTATGAATAAAACCACTCATTGTTTATTGTATACAAAATATCTATCTTTTGTCATTCTACATTGTCACAAATTAATCAAGAAGAAAAAGTAACAATCTATATTCATTGTAATGATAAAAATAACGTAAACTACAACAAATTGTAGATACCTATGCATAATACATCAACACTATGATGATACACAAGATATAAGGATAATCATATTAGCATTTTTACTAGTAAGATAGCTGAAACACTCGTTTATAAGTAGTAATTAGTTACAAACACTTAGGTAAAGGTAATACAGAGTAGTAGTAGTAGTATCTATGTGTACACACCTGATTCACCTGTGCTTTTATTCAGCATAAAAGTTATTCGGTTGTTTTATACTACAAAGAATGCATAAAAGTTAGAATGTGATTAAGATTCCTTTTTCTACTGTATAAAGCTTTAATATAAATATAAGGAGTACAGCTGCTTTATGAAATAATGTTCTGTCTTCAAAGAGGTCAATGACAGAAGTGAAAAATCAAACCGAATTTAAAGTTAGTGATATTTAAGCTACAGACAGATAGTAGTTACATTCCAATCGAAGGAAACTTAATTTAATTTATGCATGTATCAACTTTCCCTTTAGATCACACATTGTTATTATTATTGTTCCTTTGGGTTCCGAGTGGAATATAGGGTTTCAACAGAACATTTCCACTTTGTCGTGTTCGCAACAGTCCTCTTTAGGCGGCCCCACGATTGACCGTAAGCTCTGGTCTCCTCCAACCTCAGACATACGCCAAACTTGTCTTTTCCCGTTCAGGTTGCACTCGAGCGATGGCTTGGAGCCCGATGTCACCCACAGGTCTCCTTAGAGTGTGTCCAATCCATCTCCATTTTCTTCGGAATATTTTTTGACCAGTAGGTTCTTAATTGGGCTGTTCTCAGAGTTTCTCGTTTCTAATTCTTTTTGGCCATCTGATCTTCAACGTGCACACAGAGAAAGCAGCTGTTGATGCAAGTCTGGAGAAGCCTCTTTCAAATACCATTCGTGACGCCTCACCTTCCCGACCCATATAGAAGAATTGACTGACTGCTGAAAGTTCGAATTTCGTTCTTGATGCTGAATGCAGAAGGATTGCAAACTGATTTCAGAGTTATGAAGGTGCCCCTTGTCTTTCTGGTTCTGGTTTTGATATCCTTGTTGGTGCTGTCACCTGAAGTTGAAATGCTGCTTCTTAGATAAATGAAGGAATTGAACTCTTTTACATTTCTCTCATTGATAGTGACTAGTGAATTGTTTGCGTTAGCTGGTTGGTTATTTTTGTCACCTCCATCTCTCTATGTTCAGTTAGAGTTCTATCTTGGCTTCGTTTTTCCTTTGTGTCATACAGTTTGCAAAGAAATATCTAGAAACTTATCCTACTCATTTTGTTTTTACAATAGGTGGCTGAATTTATACGTTTAGATATGAAAGTTAATTACCATTAGCATCTTACGTCGAAGCAACTCATGATAATTTCCTATCAAAAGATGTTGATCGACCATAAGCCTCTGCGAATAACTAATTAGGGAGAAAACCTCGGAAGAGATACATGGTGAAACATACTATTGATTGACTGACCCAACAGAGCTCACTAGCTAGATCAAAGTGGTATAAGCAGCAGATGGTCAACTTGATCGTTTAGAGCCGAGCTGACCAACTGTGTGCCCGGTTTAATTCACCCGAATCTGATTTAATATATTACCAGTCCGCCCAAGTAGCTAGACAGAATTCAGTCGGTTTGAACTGATTCGACCTCCTGAGCTGAGTTGAACAGGATACACCGCTGATGAATTCCTCTAGACGAGTGATCTAGCCAGGAAGCACTGTTTGTTCATGTGAATGATGCCTATATAATCATGTCAGCTAATCAGCATCTGCGCTTACTTTCTTGATTGCCATTTATGTTGTCAAACAGATCACAAACTGTAATATGAATAATTTCAATTTCCAAAGGAAGCTGTGATATGAACTGCAAATCGTAAATTCATTTGAAAAACTGGCAATTGCATTTAAGAAGTCCAGAAGTCAAATGTTCGTCAAGTTAAAAAGAGACGTTATACTCTCTGAAATTTGAAGTCCCAAACATTAATTGTATGTGTATTGCAGTGGTATTTCAGATTAGGATGCAACTGATTTCATTCAGTTGTTCATGTAAAATAATTTCCAGCTGATTACTTATGTGAAAAAACTGGGTTTTCTGAAAAATGTCATACTCCAGCAGCTATTTCTTTATGTCTGTTAAACAGTTGGATAAGATACTTTTCGTGTCACGTGTGAAGAAATATTTCACTTATGTTTCTGAATTCAATTTTGATATTCTCGTTGACTGACTGAACTGATATGTTCGGCCACTGTTGACATGTTGGCTCCTAAGGAGGACGCTTCAGCAATGTCTGAGGGTTAACTTGAAGCAATTTTAGTGTATGGTGACTTTCAGTGGAATTCAGGATGCGCATTTCGTCCTACTGGGGACTAGTCAGTTGGATATACCTGCATTCCCCGATCAGTGATGGTGTCCCAACCGGAACTCGAACCCAGCACCAATTGTTTCGAACACCAAAGCGTTATCCGCTAGATCACTCGAGCTACCTTCTGTGTGGCGGGTATCAGTGGTCTAGTGGATAGCTGTCTGACTTTTGAAACGATAGGTACTGGTAGTGAACCTCAGTGGGAACAGTAACTCGCTCGGGAATACAGGTACGTGCAGTTGACGAATCCAAAATAGGATGAAATGCGCATTCTGGATTTCACTGCTAGTCACCATCCACCAAATTACTTCAATATTTAACTTGGTTCACTTTAAAGAGAATAAATATGAATTTTATGTACGCGCTTATACTCAGTGGAACTTCTATTCTTTTGCCTAAATGAGCATCCGAAATCGTGTAATCTACTGTTTTCTACCGCTTTACAGTCAAAATAAAGTGATGGATGTACTTCATTTTGTCCTTATCCTGATCGACAATAGTGCATATGTCACTAATACAACGGTAATACCTTGTTATATATTTTGAATATTTTGAAATTCTGCGTGGTGAGATTATTTGTTTTATCTTGATGCCATGTTCAATTAGTCAATGCATTTTCAAATTCACTTAATAAAAATTTTCTTTACTACAGACCTATGAAACAGTCGACTCAAATAGAAGAAACGATAAAGCCACACTTCTATTTGCCTGAATTTGTTATTCATGATATAGTTGTAACTACAGTCATGAAATCAAAAGAGGTAAATTCCACCCTTTTTTTGCCATATATTTTATTGTATCAATGATAATTATGAATGACTTATTGAGAAGCATCAAATGAATTACACGTTTTTGTGTACATTTAAGTGAACTAACAGATTTTACTGAGTTCTATGCCAGTTTTCAATCATTTATAAGCAAGTTGGACATTTCGGAATAATGTAATTCAATGTCGACTTGCTTTTTCAACAGACTAGCTTGGTATACGAAATAATGTTTTGAAAATAATCAATTATTCACAGTTTTTACCATTTAATATCATTATTGGATAAGTGACGCAAGTGTACAGATAAGTAGTTGATATTAACTCCTAATTTATGAACTTAGATGCCTTTTTTCAACATCCAGTCTAAACTGAGGGATGCTTGTACTTCTTACAATGATGAAATACTTGATAAAATTTTTAAAAAACAGGACTAGAGGATTTCATCATGAGGTGACATCAGTTAGAAAACCATTGGAAAGCCTACAGGGAGTACTGGATAGCTGTTTCGTTAGCCTAGTTTGGGACTCTTCATATGTACGCACCCACTGAAGGGATTCAAACCCAGGACCTTCTGGTTACAAGGCCAGCGAGCTCGTACACCATTAAGCCACTGGGACCCGATCCAAAGGCCTGTCCATGAATTCTGATCCCTGCCAATTCATGAAATAGCGCGACCACTTCACAGTGTCCTCTTAGATGAGTTACTACCTCACCTTCAACCTGTTGCACCCTACTGGACACGGCTTCTCACTAGAACCCCAGGTTAATTACCTGAATAGGGTTCGAGCCTCGGTGGATGCGTACTGTGAAGAGTTTCAAACAATGACGAAATGGCTGTCCAGTACTCCAAGTTTTTGCAATGGTTCTCTAACTGATGTCAGATCATGATAAAATCCTCCAACCAATCAAACAAAATCTCTACAAAGCCAATACTTTAAAACCGTTTATGTGGAACTGCAAATAAGGAAAGGTATTCAACTGTTGAAGTTTTATTCATTTACAGTTTGTGAGTGATTTGTTAAAAAGAGACCTCTGATAAGCCAAATACATGCAACTCCTGGAAAAAATGAGGCTGAGGGAAGTTGACGTACTTATATCACCAGTGGTTTTTAAAGAATTACTGAAGCACTTTCATTCATGCAAAAATCCTTCAAGTGTTATCCGAAAACTTCCTGAAAGTAAATACGTGAATGAATAGAATAATAAAAGCATTTCAACACAAAGTGCTATTAATATGATTTGCTTGACAATCCAGAGTCGCTGATGTAAGCATATCCATTAGTAAAAAGACTATATAAGATAGACATGGAATGAATAACTGACATGACTCATAGTACCTACACCTGACATTTTATTTGTGAAATGCGTATCCCAAAAGGGAATTCTGTTAATACTTAACTGTGTTTGGAAGGGACATGAAATAAGTACAATAGTTGTTGCCCTTGTCTTAACAGTTTCTTCTTAATGGGATTTCAAGTATTGGTTTTGTAGGGAATTTTGTTTGATTAGGGAATCCACTACAATACTTGAGTATCAATGATATGCTCACTAGCGACTGGCCCTATTCACGTAGGTAGGTACCTGGGCTCTAGTGGGAAGCTATGACCAGTAATGGTTGGCTATTGGATCGCGTCTCAGTGACCTTGTGGTCTACGAGTTCGCCTTGTAACTAGAAGGTCCTGGGTTCGACCCCCTGTAAAAAGGGTACTGCTGAGGAGCCACAAACTAGGACGAAACGACTGTCCTGTACTGCCAGTTTTTCAAATGGTTCTCTAACTGATGTTAGCTCATGATGAAGTCCCCCAACTAATGAGATTTTCTTCAGTCTCATAATATGCTGAGTAAAATCAACAAAGTAGAAAACTGCCAAAAATAAAATAATTAAAACTGTTCAAATTAAATGGCAGGCGTTATAACTGTACGAAAAGAACTCATTTAGCTCAATATGAATTCTCCTATTCATTGCTTAAGAAAGAAAAGTATGGTTATTTTATCGAGATTTTGGGCAAAATCCTATTTCGACTTCAAATTTAGTCTACTTTTCTGATGTAGCTATCTCCCTCTTTTATTGAAAGTGGGATTTTTTATCATGTACTTATGCTCACTAGGTATCAGCAAATCTCCTTCATAAGAGGACAGAAAGTCTTCATAACCGGTGACTCCAAGTGAGTGGAAAGTGGTTTCCGTAGAATTACCTATTTGCGATGCATTGAACTATAGCTTCAAAAATCTGTTCCATTATTCGATCTACAATTGTCAGTATTCTACCTCTTACAATTTAATTGCAGAAGACGAAATTATTTTTAAAAATGTAATGTATCCATGTACACTTCCTACATCTGTCAGTACCAAGGCTGTTTATCATCCTAAATACAATAAGCTGCGACATCTAATGATAACACATTTGGGTGGCACGAATAGTTCCTGAGCTATTCAATAAATGTTTCTAAAAGCATAAATTTGGAAATCAATCACTGAGAAACTTGTCATCTTCCACGTACATCATAAGCCGAAACACTGGCTAGCATTTCAGTGAAATATAAATAATGAAAGTATGAATTACTGGTTAAATGTAGCTGAAGCATGGAATATGTTATTATCATACGACCTATATATGGCAATGTGTAATAAAAAATGTAAAAGTCATGATAATATTCAGTGACTGGTGTAGGAATGATGGCCATGGTTCGACATCGTGACTTTCAAAGATAACTCATAAGTAACATTAAGAGATGGATTTTCACAAATTCATGCATCAACCAATGTGATCTCAAAAAAACATGTTTCTTCATTGTAAAATAATCTTCTCTTGAATCCCCAGTGTAAGTTTTGTGTGAGGTGATAACTTAAGCCGCCTAGAAGTAAAGATGATAATTAGGAAATCCAGATTATAAAGTCTATAAGGATTTAGAATGATTACAATTGTGCCATATTTTCGTCATTAATCAACATCAGCTGGAGGAATCACTGAAAACCAGGAAGCACTGGACAGTTCTGAAGCCCTAGTCTGGAACTCTTCACTACTACACACCGACGAATCCATCAGGGATCTAGCTCTAAACCTTCAGATTACCATACAATGTTCATTGTCCATTCAGCCACATAGGACAGAGTTCAGCAACCTATGAATTCTAGCTTTGCGTATTTGTGATCCAACGCTGACCTCCCCAATGCCTAAGATGAGCATCCATTTCATCTTGAAATGGTAAACCTCACTGGTCCGGACTTCCAACTTTAGCTTCAGGACATGCATCCAGTAGCCATCAATGAGCTGGAAATTGACATTCAGATTATACGATTTGCTACCAGTTGGGTCCACCTTGTCAAGATGAAATAGATGCTCATCGAAGGCACTGGTTGAGGACAGCGCTGTGTCACGAGTTGACAAAGTTAGAATTCAGGGGTCATTGGATTCCATCCTTAATTGCTGAACGGACAACGAACATGGTCTCGTAACCTGAAGGCCTGGGGTTTGTTCTCTGGTGGAGTCGTTGGTTTGCAGTAGTGAAGAGTCCCAGACTATGACTGCACAGCTTGCCAGTGCTCTGTGGTTTTCAGTGATCTCTCTAACTGATGTTAGTTCGTGACGAAAATCTAACAACTGTAGTGCGGAAATCACTAGTACATGGGCGTACTCAATGCATACATGAGCTTAAATCACACAATCCGTGTTGTGTTGCGTTGATAATCATCTTACAAATAAAGAATTTGTGCAAGTAGTCAAACTAAAATAAACAACTGGAAATTGCCTACTACGATTTTCCTTCCTCTGAGTTGAACATCATTTCGATAGTACTTTGACTTGTTATGAATAATAAATGAATTTAGGCTCAAAGAATAAATCTTTGCATCATAGTCCATTGCTGTGGTGATTAACCGACAAGTTATATTTTCTGTATCCTTCTTAAATAAAATTTTGCATTAAAATTTTTCTCTGGCCTACATATTATCCGTGGCATCATATTCTTGAACTGCGTTACATTTACTGTACTTTTATCAGAAAGTGTTGCTTGAAAGTGATATATGTGCAACGTAATGGATTAAAGTAAGCAGTAGGTCCAAAAGTTAAACGTATATAATTAAATTTTCATGAAATTATGCCGGTAAATTTCGCCCTATTTGTTGAAACGCCCTAATACGCAACGGAAAAAGGTGGCGCCACTTTGAAAAAGAGATATTTCATATTATCGCCCTTTGCAGACCATCATGATTGAGTTTATTTATGGCCTACCAACTTGATTTCCATTCACTGAAGAAAAAGTCATTTAATACTTCATCTCTTTGGTCATTTGAATGGCGAAGCCAATCACTGAAGGTTCTCAGCAAACTGACAGTCGATGCTAAAACATAGAAGCGATTATATCTGAGTTCAATTTCACTTATGAGTCGTCAAGAATTTGAAAATCTGTAGTCGATTAGATCAACTTAATTTCCACTGAACAGAATGTGTTAAACTGTTTTGTTTTCTTTTTAGGTTATATTTAGTAATTCATTTCGTATACAACTGGATTATATCGTTGAAGATAAAGTGAAAACAAGCTTCTGGACTGAAACTATACCGTCAGTTATATTTCATGGAAGACTGTCAAATATATATGAGTCTTTAGATCAAGCATACTACTTTGTCACTGATAATGATCGTAATGGCACCAATGGTAATCGGAAATACAATGATGCCACCTATTACTCTTATCCAATATTCAATGAAGAAAATTCTGATTTAAGGATTACAATGCTTCATTTCAATCTGGAAAACCCTTTTACTTTTATGGTAAATTTTAATCTGAAGGAAGAATATTCTTTTCAATAATTTCTCTTCAGGTTCTTACAATTATAAAATATAATGTTTGTTGTCGTTACAATAAAGGCCAGTTATGCGGTAGATACATTTTTAACGTAGAATAACAGATTAGTTATGGGGTGTCAAAATAAATAGTCGTATTTGTGTGACAAACGTTCTAGGCTGAATTCGATTACAAAATATTGTAAAACGGGAGACAATGGTGGTGATTAGTCATAATAGATTTGCAGAGTATGAGGTAGGAAAATTGACAAGTCAGTTCAAGGTTATAAAAGGTGTCAGGTGAGTGACTAGTACAGAGTGGTCTGTGTTAAACAGGAGATAGTAAGACTGCAATGAGAGGTTCATAATGAGATAACGAATATGTGAAATGAAACAGGTGAGAAAAGAGATAATATCACTAATGATAAGTCCGGATAGTAGAAACGAAAAATTCGATAGTATTGAGAGAATGTTTGCATGAAGGGCATAAATTATGACGAATAATAATATTAATAATAATTGTAATAATAATATTTGTAATAATAAGCAAAGGAAAAAAAAGCCAAGAGGGTTAAGGGGAAGGAGCACCCTTGGTGAGAAGAAGAATCATCAATCCAAGTTTGACCACGGTAGGAACAGCGTCTGGACGTGTTCTTTTTGGATACAAAGTTCCGGTTTAGTCGATCTTATTGCAACAGCTTCAGCAATGTGTAGAAGACGTAAGCGAACTGCACGTGATAACGACTTTGGAAATCATAATATGGGAATTTTCCACACTATCAAATTTTAATCTAATCATAATAAATTGATAGTTTTCCAGGTGGGGATAATTCATTTCTTTCTGTCATCTAGATGACTTTAAGATACCCATTAATTGAGGATCTATCTTAATATAGTTTTATACTAGATAGTTGGATGCAATAAGCAGGAAGTCCTGAACTGAGGTTTCGTGTTTGTCGGCATTTTTTAAAGCAAGGAGTATCCTCAATCTTTGAGGAATTCATGTCTCTTCCAAGATTTGAACCCTTGTCGCCGAGTGCTGTGGTCAGAAACGTTATGAACTGACAAAAGTAAGAATTCACAGGTCAGCGGATTTTAACTGAATTGGCTGAATAGTGAGCGAACTTAGTCTCATAACCTGAAGGTTCATTGTTCGATCTCTGGTGGTGTCGTTGATGTGGGCTGATAAATTCTCCCGAACTAGGACGAACCAGCAGGGCATTGCACCCTGGTTCTCAGTAAGACGTCTAGCCGATGTTGATTCTTGACTAAATCTAACAGTTGAAATCGATCTAAATCACCGCAAATCCTCCAATCGAAATGACTTTGTCTTTACTGACATTCCGTTTTTTTATGCTAATAGCTTTATCAAAATGACAGTCTACCTACTCTTCTTTTTTTGTTTTCCATTCATCGGGGAATATAAACTTTGCCATAACAATGAATATCATATGTTCAGTGCCCGAATTTTTTGAAACCATTAATAGTGCTAACTTACGGAATCCTTCGAAGTGATGACAGGAGTGAGACAAGGCTGCCTACTATCGCCAATGATTTTCCTGATTGCAGTAGACTGGATAATGCGACAAACAGCGGGCAATGAGGAAACAGGCATAAAATGGACTCACACAAAAACCAACTTGGAGGATCTGGACTTCGCCGATGATATATGTCTGATTTCCCACAAACTGGAAGATATGCAAGCGAAAAGTAACAAGTTGGCAGAAGAAGCATCTAAAGAAGATAGGACTTCAGGTGAACATAGAGAAAACAGAGGTGACGAAGATTCCTGGACAAGAACAACAACAGCAACGACAACAACAGACAACAATCAGCATAAATAGAAGGAACCTGAAAGAAACAACCTCTTTTACCTACTCACCTAGGAAGCATCGTTTCAACTACGGGCGGAACTGACGAGGATATCAAAGCGAGAATCGGAAAAGCAACACAAGCTTTCACTACTCTCAAGTCTGTGTGGAGGTTAACAGCCCTACTCAGCATCAAAAATAAGATCCGGATTTTCAACTCCAATGTGAAGTCAGTCAGTGCTACCATACGGATGGATCAGAGACTTGGCCAGCGCGTCATAAAGAGCATCTCAAACAAACTACAGACCTTCATTGACAGTTGTCTTCGCTCAATACTCAAGATCAGATGGCCGGCCAGAAAAGATCAGCAACAGGGATCTCTGATAGCGAACCAACCCAGCAGGAACCGATTGTGAAACAAATAGGCAGGAGGAAATGGAGATGGATTGGCTGGCCATACTCTGAGGAAACCATCAAGTGACATCACTAGACAAGCCATTGCTCGAGTGGAACCCGAAAGGGAATTGGCGAGTTGGTCGTCAGTGTGAGGGTGACTTGGAGGAGGTCATGTGGGGAGGAGATGAAAGTGTGTGGGCAGACTTAGAACCAGGTGAAGACTCTAGCAGAGAACCGAACGCAATGGAGACGGACGGCTGAAGCCCTATGTTCCTCTAGGAATTAAAGGAAACAATAATATAATAACGATCAGTTCACTGTAGGAAAAGTATTATTCGACCATTACATTAGGTTTTTAAGTCAGCATAAATACTCGTCAGACTTAAGGTACTATAATATACATCGATTTTTCCCATTTTAATTGTAATGACCACCACAGAGCTCTAAGATAGGCTTCACATTAATGTTCTAGCTGGCATAGTTAACTCCCGAATGAAATGTAATTGTCAGACAAATATTCGATTGATTATGTGTCATACTGACTCAAAATTAGTCATCAATCGTATGTATGACTTGTCTAGCCTACGGTTCTGTCTAGGTTATAGTTCACTTACGTGACTTCTCTGTGCTCATCTGATACATTACATAGACCGCCATGATCACAGCCTAGTTACAAAATACAATATGGTCACATGAAAAATGCTTTCAAGGTTGTCTAGTCAGCATTGCAAAGCTACATTTCACAAGCTACATAACCTGTAATTTGTCACTTGATAGAAAAGAATGATTAACCTTTTTTGCAAATACTTCTTTTTCATCCGTTGCTTAAGTACCAATATTTAAATGTTATATTTCTTTCTGAGTTTAATACACATTTAATTATCTGTATTTAGTCTATTTTTGATGAAATAAGCATATTGCTTTGTCAGCATTTCTGCACCGAGATACATCTACATCTAGTAAGCAGTTTTCACATTTCATCAACCTATGAGAGCTAAATATCTGTCGTAACGGAAACGTTTTATTGGCTAATGACACCCCAACCGCCAAACTAAGCTTTCAGTAGCATAAAGTACCCACGTTTTTGTACATATTTATTATTTTCGAATATTCATGTATGCGTTATCATTGGGACGACACAGTGAATTATGATTATTCCCCTGGGTTCTCATTGGAACATTGGGGCTTCAACTTCATGTCTCCCAAAAGCTGTCATCTTCTCCTCATATGATCTCTTTGGTGTCACGCTTGGACACATTCCCAACTCATCCTTTTCAATTCCATTTCCTTTCGAGGGTCTAGTGAGTATTTTCACTCAGTGATCTCCTTAGCGTATGCCTTTTTCGTCGGCATTTTGTTGGAATATGGGCCTTTAATTGGCCTATTCCAAGAATTCCTTGTTTCTAATCCTTTCCAGGTATTCGATTTTTAGTATCGAGTAAAGGCAGATATAGGCAATTTACAAATGTCCAAACCAAGTTCACTTTTAACAGTTTGAAAAAATCTGGGCATTGGGTATATGATATTTATTTTAATAAAGCTTTTTTGTATTTCCTAATGAATGAATGAAAAACAAAACGATATTGTTTTTTCACTGACGTTTCGCTATTTAATGCTAATAACTTTATCAATTTATTATCAAACCAGAATTTACAAAATCTCAACATTATGGTAAGCTATGACATTAACTCATTATATACTAGTATCCCTATCACCGGAAGTCTTGATATCATTTACAGTCTACTAGAATCAGATACAAAGGTATCACAAAGATATCCACTGGGCACCAGTGAAATAATTAAGGGCTTGAAATTCTGTCTAGAAAGTAATTATTTTACATTTAAAGGGAGTTTATATAGACAGACAAATGGTGTTGCTATGGGTTCACTATTTTCCCCAATAGTCGCTGATCTTTTCATGAATAGATTCGAAGATAACATCTTTTCAAGCATACTCACTCCCGAAATATGGTTAAGACATGAAGATGATTCTTTTGGAGTGCTAAAACGAAATCTACACAGTTCATTCCTGGTGAAAATAAACTGTGTATCTCCCAGAATCCAGTTTTTTTCGGAAGCAAAATCAGACATCGGTGAACTACTATTTCTAAACTGCTTACTTAAGAGGAAGGAAAACGGAAATTTCAGTATATCCACATTCAGAAAAAAACCCACTCCAACAAATATTTACACTTCGGATCATCACACCCCATCAGCGCAAAGGTATAACTTGTTTCAAGTCTTCTCAGACGAGCACAATCTCTGATAACGGATGAGAAGGAAAAAGAAGAAGAAGAAATATCAAACATTACTGGGACTCTCAAGCAAAATAACTACCCAAAGAACTTCATCAACAAAATCAACACTGACATTAACTGTGGTCGAAAATGCATTCCGAAGAAATGGACCTCAGTAGTTGTCATTCCATATAGATCGGAAACGTCAGACGATATCAGAAGAGTAGTCAATAAGCATAATATGAGAGTTTTCTTCAAGACATCAAACACGCACACTACAAAGCCACCTTGTCCATGTGAAAGACCAAATCCCTAAAGATTCTCTATCTAATTGTGTCTATAAAATAAAATGCTTGGAATGTGATACGATATACATCGAACCAACATCGTCAGCGAGAAATCAAGATCAAAAGGAATGAACACTCTATAGCACCGAGAAATCCAGCTGAACTAGAAAAGCTCATAAAATCATCAGACATAGGTCTACACGCTATAGAATCAGGTCACAAAATTGATTTTGACAATATTCAAATAATCCAGAAAAACTTCAGATCACAAAGAACGTCTAATATCAGAAGCACTTCATATCAAGTGGAATCAAAATTGCCTGAATAGGAATGATGGACTAAAACAGAACTTGACCTGGTTACAACACCTCCCTCCCCAATAAAGTGAGAAAATTAACACGAATGTGATATGCAATTTCATTATGTGAACACACGCTGTTTTTATAATTTTACACACCTATCAAATCCAACAATCTACACCTGGTTCTGTTATCTTTACCAAATTGCCAACTTGACGACGGAAAAATGACCCCGTACTGAGGAACAATGATTAAGTTGTTATATATATGCTGAGATTTTGTAAATTCTGGTTTAATAATAACTTGATAAAGCTATTAGCATTAAATAGCGAAACGTCAGTGAAAAAACAATATCGCTTTGTTTTTCACTCATTAGGAAATACAAGAAAACGTTAATTATAACAGATATAGGCAATAGTCTGAAGCCTGTTGGAAATGATGTTAGTGACGCGTGTGCCAAGTTTATCAACCATATAGAAGAGCTGACAATGGCTTTGAAAATTCGAACTTTGCTCCTTGTGCTGGGTGCTGTAGATTTCCACACGAATTCAAGAGAAATGAATTTTTTACTTGACTTTCCCATTAGAGCCTTGACATCCTCATTCGTGTTGTTGCCTATAGTTGAAATGATCCTCTTGAAATGAGTGAGCGAAGTGACTTCTTTCAAATTTCTTTTACTGCTAGTGATTAGTGCTTGTTTTAATTGTTGTTGGTTATTTATCCTCATTATCACACGGTGAATACTGGATTCTTATTTTCTAGTAATTTTTTCTTGTACGAAATGGAGCTGTTGACTAAGTATTGTGGTCGTAAATGACATCTGTTTCATAAGCTATAGTTTCGGTGTAAACTTATGGGATATCAAAGGTTCTTGTAGACTTATCGGTAATATCTTTGAAATTATAAATTAAGTATTGATCTTCACTATTAAGTTGCAGATAATTCAATATCATCAATATGCGGCTGGTTTCATTAGCAGTAAATATTAAAAAGCCTAAATAGTAGAAACTTGGCATCCATAATTCTTATACTCAGATTACTGAAAACATTCATGAAGCCATATTTTCCACCCACAACCCAAGGGAATGGTAATAGCGGTAATCTCTTTAGATGCAAGAACCTTCAGTTCATAACTTCAGAAAACCAAGATCTTATGAATCCTTTTGACCAATGCTTATCTTGTTTATAACACAAAATGTCAAACAGAGTAATCTGTTATTGAAACCCGCTACTGCATCTAAAATATTGCGCAACAAATAAAATAATCGTTATTTCTACAAAAAATATGGGTGAATGTTGTACATTTCTTCTGTGGTGATCCATAACTATAAGAAGTATGGAGGATATATTATTGAGGAATAAATTTTGAAAGGGAGGTGTAGTTCTTTTGGTCCCACCAGTCGTGAAACCAGTTATGAAAAGGCTAAACAGAACATCCGATATTCTTATTTTTTGGCATAGTTAAGAAGACAACTAAATGATAGGTTAAGACTGTGGCATTGTCTGAGTGAACTTGAGTAATGCACGTTTATTTGTATTTTTTCTCCTCGATACCATATAAAATTGTCATTAACGACGTTTGTTACTTACAAAGTTTATAAGTAGGCAATTGATATTATGGTAGTTTTTATCCTTTTTTCATATTAGGAACAAGAAATACTAACGTTAGAACATGAAAATAAACCTTATTCACCTAAACCCACAGAAATCGGTCATATCCGTGTAACACTACAGCTTAATATCTCTAATTCTGAAGATTCAGAAAATAATGGTAAGTGACTACATGCAATGTGAGTTGTAAAGTTACATAGAACTTATGGAACTCAGCTGAACACATGCTCATTTCTTCATTTTCCTTCACATTCCCCAGTGGAACATAGGGCTTCAAGCTAGTGACTTGAAGTTTCTGTAGCAGTGTTTAATTTTTACAGGATGGGGTTGCTAGCCTCATGCCCAACCTTTCCTCTTTACCAGCATTATTTCTGGCTTAGCGAGGTAAAGGAGTGCGTCGGCCGGGAATCGAACCCCGAACCATGTGCATGGTCGGCGAGCGTCCTAACCGTCCTAGCTATGCCACCGACGCACAATTTCGTCATATAAGAAGTCTTATTAGACAGTGGACCTGACTGCCCTATGTCGCATATCTTTTCCATCATTCCAAGGTATAAGTTAGCATTTAGAGTCATACTCGGATAGTGATGAGCAGTTCTGAAAAGAATTTTGACTCACTGTCAAAGTTTCTACCATAAATGAAAATGACTTCATAGTTTATCTTTTTTTTGCTACAGACAGTCAAATAAATTTACCAAGTTTGTATATACTACTGATGGATTTGAGTAGCTAGAAATCCCTTACATCAATTAAGAGTAATTACTAACCAGACGAAAGTAATCTGACCATTTGACTACAGTTTCTGTTGTTTGGGGTCAAACTCATCGGTGGTGTAAGCAGTTGAAACAAGCTGAGAGAGCTGAGTCAGTGCAAAAGATTTAGCTGTTTCTTGTTTGTTTGAATATGCAAATATCCTAACAAGGAAGTTGATTAGTTTCGATAAAGAAAGGAAGACGAAATTTGCAGTATAAAATGTTATCATTCTATTTCACAGGTTCTCATCAGCTGCAGACTACCTGAAATTACAATGGTTATATAAATGATAATAACATACTTTAATGTTTGATTAGTAGTAGAGAAGAGATAAAATTGACGCATCCAAAAAAGAATGAAAGCATTACAATTTTTAGTTGAAGTTATCATCATCAATTTATACACTTTCAGAGTTGAAAAGAGGGGGGAGGGGTAAGACAGAAAACAGAAAAAAGTTGATTAACAGAAACAGTGTTAGCTTGTAGGTTCACATGGCAACTCCAAAAAACAAAAGCATTTACAGTTTATAAGATTGAGATTTGCTCAGTGAGTTGAGATCACTGAATTAGATGACTAATCAAAATCAAAATTCAGTTACCAAGGGAGTGAGAGGTTAATCACACTCTCTTTCTGCATGCATAAGTCTGGTTTAAATCGTTTGATTGCGATCGCTTCGGCAAATCGTAGTAAATTTGCTGTCCTTTGTCTATTTAATATTTTGAAGGACTGAGAAATCTCTACGGGATGTCCGGTATCAACAATATGTCTGGTAATTGCAATCTGAGAATATTTGCTTCCTTTCAGGCATAGGTTTCTTGGAATATGTTCAGAAAACCCGATAGAAGCCCTTCTTTCTGTCCTTCCAATGTACTTGCTACCGCAAGTGCACGTAAATTCATAAACGCAGTTGGAGGTGACATCAGCAGGGTATTTATCCAGTTTTGAGTTGATCATGGAAGGAGTGGTGTTGTATACTGTTATGAGTTTTGCTGCCGGGAAGCTTCTATTCATTGCTCCTTTCAGTCTTCTGTCAATCTTTTGTGAAACTGCATCTCCTTTGAATGGGAGACAAATAAACACCTTTTTCTTTTCTACAGTTGGATGTTTTTCTTTCTTATCTTTTTCTCTGCTATACTTCTGTATAAATCCTTTAGGATATCCGTTTTCCCTCAGGCATTTCTCGACGAAATCTAGTTCTTCTTCGACCTTGTTTGGTGAAATAGAATGATATCATTTTATACTGCAAATTTCGTCTTCCTTTCTTTATCGAAATATATCAAGGGAACCAGTTGTATGAAGTTGATTAGGATGAAAACAGAGAGCGGTGTCACCATCAGTAATATATCGCAGGTAAATTGACGTCACAAAAAATGACCTGGGCTATATATAGCAGTGGACAAAATGATTTAAACCCTTCACAATACACTACCTTAGTTTACATAAGTAACACAATCGTTAACTTGCTTACAGAAACCGTTCAACTAGTTTATTCTGCCTCAAATGTAATTTTCACGAACTGGATGGTCATGACATTTTCCTCCTTAGGTATGAATTTCCATGTTTTTTTTTCTGTTATAGATAACTGGATTTCCTTCGGATGGACACAAATACAATGTTTCACTGATAAAGAAAACTCCAAATCGGTTACAGAGACTGATACAAAGGTAGGGGAAAATTTCTCACTGAATTTATCTAGGGTAGTTTTTCTTTCAGACACAGGATTAACTAGTCAGGATGTTTAAGCAACGGAATCGGCAATCAAGATACCAGTTATTGTATACTGAACGTTGAAACTGTTAGATTCAGTAAACAAAGTGTTTGACGTGCCATTAGTACTCGTCTTAAAATAATATCTCAGTAAAATAAATTTACAGTGAAAGACACTGCTGGGTTTGGTAATAATTGTATATTGCAATAATGGTAAATAAAATCGGAAAAATTAATATTTCAAATAGATTCGAACTAGATAATTCAAGTTCATATAGGTTAGATAATTGAAAAATGAAATCCTGTTTCTGACAGAGTAACAGTTTACTGCAGTTCATGTGTTTGTATCTGGTTGCTGTATGAATCAGGCCTAGACACATGATTCAGGTCTCCCTTTTCAACTCAGGTGAAGTAAGAGGATACTTGACCACGAATGAAATGAAGTGGTGGTTGAGCCATATATATAGAAATGGCAGAAGTCGGAATTAGTTGGCCATTAGATCGAGTCTCAGTGACTGAATGGTTGCCTTGCAAGTTGATGGACTTGGGTTCGAACCCAGGTGGGCGTGAAGTGATGAAGAGTTCCAGACCAGCACGAGACAGCTGTCTGATGCTCCCTTGTTTCCCAGTTGTTCTCAGAATGACATCAACACGTGATGAAACTTCTGACTAAAGTATACCATGTAATTAGTTGAGATCATATTCGATAGTATTAGACTTTCAGTGACAAATATAGCATGTGAATTTCATCTTTTTGTATGATACTTTTTTGATCATTGAAACGATCATTTTTTAAAATGTGTTCTAGAAACCTGAAACCATTTCAGAAATCTTCTGCACTGCACTCCACAGTATAAGAAAAAAGATTCACAATTTCAACACAAATGTCAAGTTGATCCTTCCATAAGGGTCAGAAACTTGCACTGAGTGTCACGAAAAGGATTTTCAAAAGGTTACAGACTTTTATCAATAGCTGCCGCCTCCGCTGGTTCCATACTGAAGATCAAATGGCCAGAAAGAATTATTAGTAACAAGAAACTCAGGCTGAGAACAGACCAACCAACAGTCGATTGCTCAAAACATATGTAGAAGAAAATGGAGATGGATCGAGCACACGTTGCGGAGGCCTTCGAATGACATCGCGCGGCAGGCCATCGCTCGAGTGGGTCGTTAGTGCGAGAGTGACATGGCAGAGATCGCGTGAGGAAGAGATGAGAGATTATGGTCAGTCGTGGACCCAGCTGAAGAGGATGGCAGAAAATAGAACAAAGCAGAGATGTGATGTTGAAGCCCTATATTCCACGCGGAACCCAAAGGGAAAAAAATAATAATCCGCAACAGGCAGATAGGGTGATTAAATCTGAATACACGTAAAATACAGATCTTGCAGCACACCCATGTAATATAAAATGTAGTTGGAGAAAGAAAAGAGTATGATTCCAACCAGTAAAATATACATAAATCTTAAAATTTTTTATTGTAAATCATTAGTTATTTTTAAATTATTTTACTAAAATGTTTTTATTACAATATTTTATCTAGATTTATCCATATAACTTATGGGCAAGAGAAGTTATAAATCCAGTTGAACAAGGTTTATGCCCAGAACCATTACCTGATCCTACATGGACACTCACCTACCTTCTAATACCATTCAATCACTTATTTTATTACTTTTTTCCAACTTCTCTACCGCAGACTGATAAACATGAGTGTAAGTAGAACGAAAAGTGAATTGTTGTCGTTTATTACTTATAAAATTTGAAATATCGGAATAATTCACTAACAGTTTGCATGATATCATGAATATTGTGTGGAGTAAATCTTCCGCATGATTTGACTGAGCTACAGAGCTGTTTCTTAAGTTTACTGTCGTAAAAGTGAAGTGCACTGATTTCATAAGCTAGTCGTTTGCTGGGATAGTCTAGGGTTTATCACTTAGAGTGGACTAGTTTAAGTATTTGAAATGTATATCTCATGTTTTTCATTTGACTGGACTTTCTAAGAAATTATTTGAAGTAAGTAAAAGTGGAAAATGTAGTGTAGATGACTGTGGGCGTGAAAATTAAATCCATTTAGCAATTGTGAATGTCAGCCGATCGCCTTTTCTGCTCAGCGATTATGCTAACAAAATAATATTTTGTGGGGAAGATTTGTAGCTCAGGAAGATTTTGTTTCGATGTGTCTAACGCTTTGAAAGTAAGAGCCTCAACAGTACTAAGTGTTGCGACAAAACCGAATAGTTTTGGTATGAAAGTAGAGAACCAATCTCTGACTCCTACTGTATAGCTGCCCGAAATTTCCTTGAGAGACGTACAGTCACAAAACTATCCAAAGTCAGCAAAAAGACGACTATCCGTGATTAGATCTTTGCGTCTATGCAACAATAAGAACATGAAAATCTCGAAATTACCTCAGCAGTGCTATTAGGCAGCTGTACAGACAAGAGAAGGCTTTAAATACAAAACACGTACTGTAGAACAAAATTAGCTGGCCAAAATTCAACTGTACGAACTACCTTAGAATCAACCAGGATATTCCTAACAAGATGGGATCAAAAACTATGTTCACAAGAATCATAAACCAAATAATTCTTGCAGACAGTTCATTGTCGACATGAACTTGATTCACTCAGAGAAAATCACATAGTAAAACAACACATAATCAGTATCATCACATAACCCCAAAGAGACATGTGAAAACTTCAGAACAATGATAAACAGTGTAGGAGAAAAAGGGACAATAATTACAAAGTTTGTTGCCCATAATCTCGCATCCCCTCCACGCCACACGATCTCCTCCATGTCACTTTAGGACCACCCACTCGTCGCTTCCCATTTAGATTCCACTCAGGGACTTAGAGCGCGATGTCATTCTACGGCCTCATCGGTCATACACTGAAGATGCCATCGAATGACATCGTGCTCCAGGCTCTTGAGTGGAATCCAAATGAGAAGCGACCAGTCGGTTGTCCTAGGGTGAAATGAAGGAGATCGTGTGACGTGGAGATGACAGATTATGGACAATCATGGACCCAGGTGAAGAGGATGGCAGAAAATAAGATAAAGTGGAGATGTGTTGCTGAAGCCCTATGTTACACCAGGAGTGCAAGGAAATAGTTGAAACGTCTAAATAGGTGTCAATATTGCGATTAGATCGTTCAGGAGTGATTTTCCAAACAGTCATTCCGTCACCTTAGGAGTGACCTGATTTCAAAGAAAAAGTGAATATATAACTAAGTGAAATGAGTTTTCCTTCAGGTGTTAGCATCTGTATTAAGCTTGTAGTGTGTCCGTTAACAAACATTGTTTCTATACTGTTGTAACACGACAGTATAGAAATGAAAAGTACTCTTATTACTCTTCATTGTCACATCTAATTCAAAAGTAGAACAAAATTTATGTTTTGAGCATGGTCCTGAGACGGTTATGCAATTCGTTAGGTTCTTCATGATGCATGTCATCTATTTACTTTAAGGTAGGGAGAAAATTTTCAGTCAGACAGAAACAATTTGGAAGTTGTAGAGAGAGGTGATTACGTCTAAAGTAGACATCTAGAGATACTGATGAGCGTAAAGGTGAATAATTCTAAAATTTCACTTTTCACTGTCTGATTTCCCAGTGGGTCCGATACAACTTTGCGGTTATATGAAAGCACTACTTCTGAAAGGGAAATCATAATAGGCTTTTCGAATAAAAATACAATGAAATACACAAGCGAACAGTAGAGTTTACAATCAAATTTTCGCCACTCTTGACTCTAATAAATATGTTATTCTATGTGTCTAAAATTTTAACTAATGATAGGGATTTACCAGTGGACAATAGATGTAAGATTTGCATTTAATCACCACAATACTAATGTCATTCACAATAACAATATCAGTTATATGTTATTTCCCTATACTGACTGACTGACTGGTTTCAAGGTAGAACTTTGCACGGATGTGCAGCAGTTCGAGTTGTCACTTTCTCTCCAAGTAGCACGCAAGGTAAGAGAAGAGAGTTAAAGAAGGATTAAAAACAGAGATAATGAGGCAAAAAGAAGAGTAATATGGAAGAACAGTAATACTGTTTTATTGGATATTATAAATCACAAAGAGTGAATGCATCTGCATCCACTGAAAACGATTTTGATTCATATCACCAATTGTTTCCATCTGTCGGCTTTTACCATCCCGAGGACCTCAAACAGGAAGTCTGCACCTCCCTAAGTGACCGGCTTAAACTAACTGCTGTGGATTGTGTTCACTGATGAAGCTGTGTTTTGGTTTGGCCACCAATGGGTGTTTTCCAACCTTACCCATCCTATGTTAGGTAACATCACCAGTTGAGGAAGGCGATGGCTAGGCAGACATGCGCAACACATGTCTTAACCACCTCAATCGGTGTAACTTCACAACGTTGTCGATTGATTTCCCCTCCTTACCTAGCACTAGACGCCTAAACCGGGATACCTATGAACAAAGACAGCTAGCCTTCTCATTTCTTCCAACTTCAATGGTCATGCCTCACAGCCATACAGGAGCACACAGTGAAATGATGAGCAGTACACAAGCCCTTGGGTCGATTGCCGGATATCACGTCTTCGCTGAAGATGGATTAATTTGGCGTATCTGTATCCGTAATGAGATTTCATCAGCAGTCAACCCGCTGCCATTGGCCGATGCAACTCCCTAAATAAGTGAAGTGGTCAACACGTTGTACCACTTCATCACTTATCTCTAAGTCAGGAGTAAGTCAATATAGTCCAGTCCTGTAGCTTCATCTTACATTTAGCAGGAGCGAATTGCTTGCTGAACACTCAAAGGCTGCTGCTCAAGGTGTCCAGAAAATTCTACATTTTGTCAGAGTCTTAGCCTAGAAGGATTATAACATCTGTATGTTCTAAGTCAACGCGATTATTACCCCCGGTTACAATTCAGTCTCTAAGTCACTGCAGTCAGTTAGGGTTAAGTCCATTAGCAAGTACATCTGTGATGAAATTAAGCGGAAATAAGGACTGTGGGCATCCCTCCTGATGGAAACCACTGGTTGTCACCACTTCAGATGACAATTTTCCTGTAAGTCATACATATATGGACATATACATACATACTTGCCTATATGTATGACGTATGATCACCATAATGGTGATATGTATGTAGTTTCTGTACAGTATCTCTCTACGGACAACTTTCCAACCTAGCAGGGATAACATCCGATGCAACTGGATAGAACTGACAAAAACGCTAAAGAATATAAGCTTCTGTGTAGATTTACTGACATACTTCCATCAAAAACTTTTACCTATGAAGCAGAAAATCAAAATATCTTACAAACTTCAGAAATTCTTTCCAACAGAGCAGCAAAGATGAATATGAAAATATCTTGTGCGGCAGTCATTGTACATTTCTTCAGATTTTGTGGCTGTTCGAAGCTTAACTGACTTAGTCAACCGCCTCACAAGTAAACTGAGAAGACTCTGTAGTGATTCCACAGAAAATTGACATTACGGATAAAAATACTGATTAGTGAATAAATGTCAGAATTTTCTGTTAATTGTCCAAGAAAATTATCTCTTAAAGCAACACTCTGGACAAGAAATGGTGGGCTTAGATTTCGCACACACAGGTAAATCTTGCCAAAACATTTTATACTATTCAGAAAACTATTTCCCACCAATTTCAGCTACAATTAGTGACGTCCATGGTACACAAAACAAACCTATTTACAGGTGATCCCATACTTCAATGTACATATGTGTTATAACCGTAGCGGAATTAAATGAGGACGTTGTCCTGTCTGCACCTGACTAATATGCCTATCTGCTTCTGGTACCTTCTGATTCAGCGAACCACGCAAATATCAAAAGACAAAGTCTGGTCTGTGACTGTGTATTGTAGTACAACAACTACGACAAACTACGACGACAAAGAAACTTATTTAGGAAATGGTATTTATACATTTTTACAACCAATACAGACAGCTAACAGTATTTGAAATAATTGGTCGTAATAGTCAATAACAAAATGCGTGGGAAATGATGATATACCACATATGCGAGATTAACAGTCGTTAAGATAATTGAACAATAACAAAGTGTGTGGGATCCTATCAATATGTGTTTGTCCTATCACTATTATTATAATGCTTTGGGAGCTTAAACAATTGAATCTCCATGATTTAACTTTCCAGCACCCCAACTTTTACAAGGATCTCGAATCTCTCTACGAATTTATAATCCAAAGATTGAGACAGTACCAAAAGCTATTGATAAACCTTTAATCTACATAACTAGACGAATTCAAGTTGAAGAAGTGGCTCATGAAACTTTAATTGATATGACAAAGGGGGAATATCTTGAAGAGGAAACAACTGAAGAACAAGACGTCAGGTAAATCCAAGGTATATTTATTTAATAAGATTGAAATAGCAAATTAGCTATGAAGAAAGTCTATGAGTTTAGTGAATAAATTTTCGTAAATCTAAAAAATACTTAAAGTTGAATTTATGTTAAAAAAAACGTCATCTGATGTGCTTATTATGGAAGAAGGTTGCTGAAAACATGCATGCATCTTTAATGCATCAAGTCAAAACATCTTCTGAGTGTCATTTAAGCAAAATGAACAAACATTATGGATAGTATAGTAACAAGGGTAAACTCTACATGGCAAAACAAGCTTGAGGGACATTTCCATGTCTCTCGTGCATCCTTTAAAAGTTTAAGAATGAATTATTTTAGATGTCACTGAAGACGAATTAAGAAATACCCATTCAGTATTCAGGAAGAGACTAAATATACGAAAAAATGATAACCGACCAGTTATTTTCCGAAAAACGGCGTGTAATGGCTGACTAAATGTTTCCTACTGTAACGACAGAAGACAAGGTCCAGGCAACAGATCGTTTATTAAGAAAATCAATAGGTGTTTACAGATCTTTATGTACATTTTTATTCGTTATTTAGAAGCAGAGAAACAGAGTCTTCCGATTGGTTGTTTTCTAGCTGAAAGTTAATCTGTCATCCCCTTGTGACCGTTTCTTTGAAGGTCAGACTTTATATCTGCTAAACGTATCCGCCCACTCTAAGTCTGCCGTGATTGGCTGTTGAGTTCCTCAAGGTTAGGTTTTATTAATGTTTTATTTCTACTGACCCCGATTCCGGACGTAAATATTGACGTCAATTGGTGTCTACAATTTTGGCTATCAGACAACTCTCACCACAGTAGTATCACTGATTGAATTATATAGTTAATTCTTTTACCATGAACTTTTCGCAATCATGATTGATGATATCGTTCTCAATTTCATTTTGAGTTAGTGTCTGCTTTTATTTCAAAGATTGACAGTTGTCTACGTAAATTTCTATTCCCCCAAGCAATCCCCATTTGTCAGTCTTATCCGTCATTTTTCATATTTTCTTATTATTCCTTCGGGTTCTGAGTGAAAAATAGGGCTCCAGAAGCATACCTTCAATTTATCCTGTTCTCTGCGGTCCACTTTGGCTGATCCCACGATTAGTCACAGGCTCTCACCTCTCCGTTTGGACACACACTCGGCTCGCTATTTTTCATTCAGTTTCCACTTGAGCTATGACCTGATCGGCGATGTCATTTGACAGTCTCCTCAGCGTGTGTCCAATTCATCTTCATTCGCTTTGTTATATTTCTTCAGTAATAGGTTCTTAATTGGTTCGTCTGCAGAGTTCCTTGTTGCTAATGCTTTCTCACCAGCCGTCTGATATTCCTTATGGAGCTAGTGAAGGCAGCTGTTGATAAAAATCTGTTATAGCCGGCTAGAAATGCTTTATGTAACCTTCAGACTAAGTCTCTGACCCAAATAGAAGAACTGACTGACTGAAAATCCGCATTTTGTTTTTCATGCTGCGCTGAGAGGATTTTCAAACTGATTTCATAGTGGTATCTGTCTTGCTTTCCCTATTCTTTTCTCAACATTCTCATCCGCACTGGCCACCTGTAGTTGAAACGCTGCTACCTAGATAAATGAAGGTGGTAGCTTCTCTCAATTTTCCCCAATTAATAATGATTAATGCTTGTTGTTGTCCGGTTATCTTCATCACCTCCCTCTTCTCTAAGTTCACTTGAATTCTTGTCTTTGCTGCATGCTTCTTCTTCCAGTTTGCCAGCTTTTGCCTGTATGTCTTCGGGTTCATGTGGCGCTAGGCATACATAAACGGCAAAATCCACATCTCCCAGAGTGTTCTTATTGGTCTAACATATTCCTGGCTCGTTTCTCCCCTCACACGGTCTCCTGCATGATCCAATCCACCACAGTCAAGAATATCATCAGTGATCGTAGTCAGCCTTGTCATGCTCCTGACTTCACTTCAAACGTTTCTCTGAGTTTGGCATTGTCATATAGCCGTTGAATGAGGTTAGTAAATATTTGCTCAGTTGAATCCAGTATTGAAGTGGTTCCCAAATTACTTCACGGTCAACATCGTCGAAGGCTTTTTTAAAGTAGGTGAAGTTGACGTAGAGATTTGGCTGTAATTCTATGCTCTGTTCGATGATGATGCATAGAGTTGCTGCTTGATCCACACACGGTTTGCTTTACCTGAATCCAGCTTGTTGCGGGTGGAATTCTGTATCGAGTGAGGTTTTTTATTCCCTCCAGGATGACGTGACTCAGTATTTCACTTGGCATGGTCAAGAGCGAAATTCCACATCAGTTCACTCAGAAGCCGAAGTCGTCCTTCTTTAGTAGCTTGATAAGGTAACCCTTCTTATAATCGGTAGGCACCTTTCTCTTCCTTCCCAAAGTTTTGGAATAATGGCGATGGCATATTAGCTGCAGTTTCTGGACTCATTTTCAGTGTTTCAAGGGGAACTTAGTCTGTCTTCCGTCTTTTAGTTAACTGACTAGTATTATACATTTGGCTATCAGCAATCATTACAGGAGTCTAACAGTTCAAGTGTAAAGAGTACATTTATACAGATTGATTTGGCAATAAAAAGGCTGTATTCTTAATAATAATTTAGCGAAAATTCCACTTCACTTAAAGCTGCAGGTATTCAAATTTTAATGTCTTCGATATACGTCACTACAAGGCTTCTGAGACTAAGTACACGAATAATTACAGAAGTGACTTACATAAAGTCATGTGATAGGGGAAATGCAGTTGCAAGTGATATTGATGCCTAATCAGTTATTTGTTTGATACTTTCTTAAGAACATAGCTTGTGTTCAAATGTTTACGCTGATGATTTGATTAGGATGGTTTTTAAGTCCACATTATTTATATCCTTAATCACAGTATGGTTTTTAGCTACTGTAAAGATTTATAAGTAGTATGTAGATACATACATAAGTATGTATATCAGCGTCAAGAATATCAAAAGAGGGAGAGACGGATTTAATGAATTATGCTTGAGAAACAATATGGAAAAGGGCAGGCAGACAAATAAGAACACTACTGATAGCAAAGCAGAGCAATACCAAAAAGATATGCAAGTTGTGATTAGACTACAAGGTAGACGTATTTTGTCTATATTTGTGTAGTGAGTTGCCAATTGTAATGGTTCCTTTACATACATCTCTGTCATGCTAATGTATCGCCTTCAAATGTGTCCAAAGCTCTTCACTGAATGAATACCATCTGATGGTCTCGTAGATTTGATCCCAAAATATCAGTCTGTCTATATTTTAGCTAGATCGTCTTCATTTATTTTACCTTTGTTTCTTCTAACCCCGCTGTCTGTTTGAGATTATTCAACTATCAATACTCACTCGTAGCTTTATAATATTTTGGTGGTTGACTACTTCAGTTTTTATCACATTTAACTATAGAACATTCTCAGTGTAGCTTTAAAACCAGTTTCTCAAAGTGCAAAAGTGTCCAGTAGGAATTCGGGACGAGGAAATAACTTTTCCCTGTTTCTCACCACTTCATGTTTCTCCGAGCTTATTTTCCAAACACATAAATAAGGAGCTAATATAAATACCTACATTAGCCCTTTTTTTTATAATTTTATTCCTTTAAGATCTCAGTAGAGCATAGAGCTTCAAGCTAGGGCTTCGAAGTTTCGGTAGCGGCGGGGATGGAGCTTCTTATTTCACACCCAATCCCTTCTCTTTGTCAGGCCTGTTGCCAGCTAAGAGAAGTTTAAGAGTGCGTGAATTGGAGATCAAATCCTGGACCACGTGAGTGACTGGCAAGCATTCTATCTCTGCGCCACTGACACACTATCCTATTGGAATACGTATTAGCAATGCCCATTTCCTTTATTACTCACAATGCTGTTTTTATATATAACTTTACTTATAGTATGATTATTATTTTTACTAGGGTTATTAAAGAGATAAGTCCACCGGCTACTCCACTTGACGATCCATGGGTCGCCTTCAAAAAACCTGCACCTTATGAAAGACAAATGAAGCCTTCATCAACATCTGAGACTTTTTGTATTTATATAGATCAACTACGCTTCATGCCAGATGATTCGACTATTTTTAAGGTAAATTAAGTTTTACGAATTTCATGAGTTTCAGCAGTGAAATGTTTTAACTTATCCACAGTATTATTTCGCAGCGTACAGGTTTCCCTATTAATAAGAGTTAAGGACAGTTTACAGATGATTAGCAGATGATGAGTTTGATGAGCATTTCACCTCTTGTGAGACTTTCGGCTTATTTGTTCTCCGTATATATTATAGGCTTTGTCTCTTTGATCAGCTTGAACTCTACTGATAAGAAGCACCAAATATAGTAATCAATATTTTGAGCTACTGTTTGCAGAATTCATCTTGTGCATCAGATGAAGTTTGACGTCAATGTAAAATCTCATCATCTTTCTTTTTGACCTTTCTCTCTGACCATACTATCAGATTTGCTTATTTCTGGCTTAAATTCCTGAGGTTATAAAATTTATATATTCCTCATATTTCTTTTAATGAATGATAGTTGTAGTAATCCAGTTTATTGTCGTCCTTGATATCGCCACCAGTCGGCAGTTTGTATCCTAACAGTAACACGCCAGTCTTTGTCTTTTGATATTTAAGCGGCTCATTGAAGCAGAAGGTACTACGGACAAAGACCATATCTAGCGCTTTAGTTGAGTTGTCTATTGCGTTTAATATTATTATACTCACATGTAAATCAACTCCGTCATATCAGCCGACGACGACATTAGATCAGTTGGAGGCATGTTTACATCAGCTACTGAACCCTGTACGTTTGAGTTACTTATTTTTTCCTCAGGCATTTCATCCTGTTTCTGTATAGCTCTCAGACATATACTGCTTTAAAAAAGTACACATTGAAGAGGATTTTGAGGTACCTGTAGTGATTTATATTCCTTCAATAATTTAAATTCTCTAGTTTATTTGACTTTATGAGTTTCTGCCTTAACATTTTTAGATAAAACGTCTTTGATTGAACGCCAGCAAGTATATAGTACCATACGTCTAGTCACTTGTGTTGGTGCAGACTGAATTCTATCAGTCAAGCTAGCAAAGTGACCACCATGCTAGTTAGCTCGCCATTATAGTGCACCCTGAATTCTTGTTATTGGATGGTTGGAGGCAATCAGCAAGAAGTTTTGTTTGACTTGGGTTTCCTGCATGTTAACACTTGTCAACAAGAAGTATCTCCATTCTGAAATCTCAACCTGTTTCAATCAGTGCAGAAGTCACAAATGTTAACACTGAGCTGTTTGGGGTCTCGATTGACCCCCGACTATCTAATAACAAGAATTCAGGGTGCCAAGTGATGGTGAACCAACTAGCATGGTGTCCGCCGCATTGAAAACTTGACTGAGCGAATTCAATCTGCACCAAAAAAACACTAGATGCATGAGTAACTAGTTGCTAACTAATGTCCAGTGAAAGTATCAGTTACAGTACTACAGGAGGTCTTTGGTGAACCTGAACAACTTATTGGTAACTGCTCGGACGGCACCACTGAGTGATATAGTTTTGAATCTCAGAAGGGACATGAGTTCCTTCAGGGTTACAGATACGCCGTGCTGCCGAGCGTCAACCAGCGATGATATTAGATGGTTGGAGGCGATCGGCCACAGGAAGCTTTGCTTGACCTAGGTCTCGTTCTAGTTGGCACTCACCGGTCAGCAAGGCGTATCTGCAACCTTGAAGGAACTCATGTCCCTTCTGAGATTCGAACTCGCGTCACCCAGTGAGTACTGCAGTCAGAGACGTTACCACTGAGTTATTCAAGCTCGCGATTGACCTCCTGTAGGACTGTAGTGGATATTTTGATTTGACACTAGTAACCAGTGTGATGCATCTAGTCCTTTCTTTGGTGCAGACTGAATTCTATCAGTCAGGTTGTAATGTGGCCACCATTCTGAGTAGCTCGCCATCACGGTGTACATTGATTTGATGATATTAGATTGCCGGTTGCCTCCAAGCATCTAATGTCATCAAATCAATGTGCACCGTGATGGTGAGCTACCTAGAATGGTGGCCACATTGCAAACCTGACTGATAGAATTCAGTCTGCACCAAAGAAAGGACTAGACACATCACACTAGTTACTAGTGTCAAATCAAGTTATTATTCTGAGTTTATTGATGCGTAAAGCTTAGTAGTTATAGCACTGTTTGACCAATGAACCACCTACTGGATATCAGACAAATGACATGAGAAATGAGTTATGAGTCATACTAAATATTTACACCACTTTCATACCGTTACCTGACTATTCTACACTTGACCATGAATTCTTGAGCTGATAAGTACATTGATTTTATGTGTTATTATTTAGGTTACCGGTAGGTTACTTAACACAAACTACGATGAAGAATTGATTGATATTCTAAGTGTACCTGAAGAAATCCCCAACAATCAGGAAAACAGTAGATCGCCGGTGTTTTCATCAAATCAACGTTTGATAGTTAATCTTGGAAAAAATAAAAATTTGGCGCGTAACTCTCTACTATTTCTTAGAGTATATACTCTGACATTGAGAGATCTCAACTATGTTGTTGTGGGTAATGCTCTGTTAAAGATTTTCAATTCAGATGTAAGTTGTTGTTTAAACAGATTTGAATAGATCATGTAAGTCATTTAAAAAACATTTAAAATATTTTTTCTAGTGTGGTTGTGTTTACTGAGCTGGGTAGTTTATTTGCAAAGCTTTCATTGTTCTTCTACAAAACATTTTCAGAACTTAATTCAATTCGGAGTAAGTAGTTTGGAAATCTTAATGAATGATGTAATTATCTCTCTTAGCGACCTTGGCTACAAGTGGTTCTCTTCATAGGTTTGACTGTAAAAATGTGAAAACAGCGAAGATACTAAAAATGCCAGAGAAATCCTAGAAGCCTGGTACTCAGATCGATCTCTGCTCAACTGACATACTAGCACAGATCAAATTCACTAACCAATAACGAACAAGTCATACAGGAAAAATGGCAAAATAGTCAAGTTGATAATAATAATAATAGCTTTATTCCGAACAGTACTTCTGTCGAATATCCAGATCTCTGAGATCCTGGACCTATCGCTGGTTTCAGAAGGCTACGATTAATACGTGGAAGACTATGCACTGTAACTGATGCAGAACGACAGGAAACGGTTGGGCGACACGATTATTTGCTCTACAGGCGATAAAGTGCTAAATTCTATAAACAGACGGTAATATAATGTACAAGAACACTTCTTGTCGTATTTCTCTAATCTTCTGCCAACCAGTACACGACATCGCAATGACAGCCTTTTTGTCACCTGCCAGTGGATACCAGTTCGAATAAACAAACATTCAACGTTCACCAACACTGTAAACTTCTGATACAAATATGGGATTTTTAGCATGCTTACAATATTGCATCTAATATTCTCATTTTTATTATTATTATTGTTCCCTTGGGTTCCTAGTGGAACATAGGGCTTCAACTGCACGTCTCCACTTGCTTCTGTCTTCTGCTATACTTTTCGCTCACATCCATGTTAGTCCATACTGTTTCAACTCTTCTTCACACCATCTCCCCCGTGTCACACTTGGACGTCCCACTCGCCGATTCCCTTTCGGGTGACACTAGAGCTATGGCCTGACGCGCGATGTCACCCAGCGGCCTTCTCAGCGAGTGTCCAATCCATCTCCACTTTCTCCTGCATATTTGTTGAGCGACTGGTTCTTGTTTTGTTTGTTCCAATAGCTTCTTGTTGGTGATTCTTTCCGGCCATCTAATCTTCAGTATGGAGCGAAGACAGTTGTTGATAAAGGTCTGCAACCTGTTGAAAATATTTTTGGTGACCCGCCAAGTTTCTGATCCGTATAAAAGAACTGACTTGACGTCGTTTGTATTGAAAATCCGAATTTTGTTGTTGATGCTGAGTGACGAAGATTTCCAGATTGGTTTCAGGTTGATGAATGTGTTTCCGCCTTCCCGATTCTCGATTTGACATCCTCGTCCGTTCCACCTGCCTGTAGTTGAGACAATGCTCCCTAGATAAGTGAATGAAGTAACCTCTTTCAAATCCTTCCCGTTGATGGTGATTGACGCTTGATGTTGCTGCTGCTGTTGTTGTTGTTGGTTGGTTATTTTCATAACCTCCCTCTTGTCTATGTTCACTTGGAGTCCTGTGTTTGCTGCTTCTTCGACAAGCTTGTCTCATTACAGGAGTAATAATTAAAAAAGTCATTGACATTGATAATATTGTTAAATACAAATATGAATATAAGATTGCATTAAGTGAATATATTAACAACAATGTGATAATAATAATAATAAAGGAAAAAATACAGAGATCTGTCAAGTAAGTGTTTCGCAGTAGGTTAACAGTGTCATCATAAAATGTGTGCCTGCCAAACAAGGTATTGTAGATTTTGCATACTTAGTTGTCCGAGCAAAAAGTCTTCTATAGTTGCTTTTAGTTCTACCTGGTGAGGCAGATGCATGGAGAGAGAGAGAGTTATGTATAGAAAGGATGCTTAGGGTCTAACAAGATAATATTTGCTAATCTCTTGCATGCGTCCATGAGTCTATCCACAACAGTATTAACAGATTTGTTTAGCGACACCACACTAGCCCTACTGACAACCTTTAGTGTCCTTCGCAGTGTGACAAAGTCTTCCTTAGGTAGTCCAGGAAAGATTAAGGGGGAGTGATACAGAAGAGTAGGTGGAATGCAAAAATTAGCAAACTGTAACAGTAGAGACTGAATGATTACAGATTGTCTCAGCTTTCTTAAATAGAACGTTAGACGAGGTCTCCTTCTAGAAACTAACATGATGTGGGAACACCAGGAAAAATCAGAGGAACTACACAATCCGAGGTATTTAACATTTAACTTAATTTCAAATTCCGTGCGTTCTGTAATACAAGAATCATTGGAACGAACCAGTTCGTGTAACTCGCGCTTGTGTCTGAAAGTGAAATTAACAACCTAACACTTGGAGGAATTCAGCTCAAGATCATCTGACAAGGAGTATTGACTAATTTCCGATAAAAAGTTATTCAGATAAAGCAATAAGAAGGTGTAATTTGTCTGGATCGTGTAATGTGCATATTTGCGCACAACACATTTCGAACAATCTGACCACACACACGGACTTGTCATAGGAATATATATGAAATTAATAGAGTTAAGAGGTGAGAAAATAGACTTAGGTCAAGTTAAAAGGACATATTGGAGGTCAAAATAACAATGAAGATCACTAAACCAAATAGCAGAGGTAGTAGTACATCTCCAATGGCTACTATCAAAACAAAATTTACCAAGGAAGGTTTAATGTGATGACGAATTGTTTTTGAACGCATAAAGGTGGCTTGAACTTTCTAATTGCCAGCTATGGCTTGCACAAACTTCAGGATACGCCCCAAACACTTAGGAAGGGGCTTCAGAGCATATTCCTAAATGGCTCCAGAAACAAATAGAATCTTCAGAACCCAATAATAGTGAAAACAGGAGACCTAGGTCCTCTATTGCGAAACATATTATAGAGACTGGACATAAAATTGACGTTAACAGATCTTTTAAACCCATCTATAAAACGTGTTTGGGGCGTATCCTAAAGTTTGTGCAAGCCATAGCTGGCAATTAGAAAGTTCAAGCCACCTTTATGCGTTCAAAAACAATTCGTCATCACATTAAACCTTCCTTGGTAAATTTTGTTTTGATAGTAGCCATTGGAGATGTACTACTACCTCTGCTATTTGGTTTAGTGATCTTCATTGTTATTTTGACCTCCAATATGTCCTTTTAACTTGACCTAAGTCTATTTTCTCACCTCTTAACTCTATTAATTTCATATATATTCCTATGACAAGTCCGTGTGTGTGGTCAGATTGTTCGAAATGTGTTGTGCGCAAATATGCACATTACACGATCCAGACAAATTACACCTTCTTATTGCTTTATCTAAATTCATAAAGGGAACTAATTGTTTTAAAAGAAGTTATTCATTTCGAAACAGTCTGACTGAGAAGTAACAGCCATGGGAATAGTCAAATTATCAGCATAATTAATAGAATAGGCTTCATCAGAATGTGGATTTCCCATTATATATGGTATACTACATCCTCTCAGAAAAGTAAGAAAGCAACCACTTATTAACCCAGCACCCTGCTTGTATCGCAGCAAGCTTGTTTAACAAAAGACGCCTAGGTACAGAGTCGAAGGCATACGTGTAATCAAGGAAGGCACACCTAACATAACTGGTACCTCTGTCTAAATTATGAAAACGATCGACTGGAATACAAATTAACACAAGGAGATGAAATCCTCTGAAGACAACCGTGCGTAGATAAACTCATCAGGAGAGGCAGCTTTATCTGGGTTGAAGTAATTCCATAAGATATTATCTAGACGAATAATGAAAGCTTTGCAATTACATCCCTCAGATTAGTGAGCAGAACCACACCTAAAGCATCCGCTCGCGTTACAAACCATCTTCATTATTTCTCATTTAAAAACATAAGTTAAAACACCCTCAGTCATTTGACAATGACAGTAACTTTATAAACCCACAAGCCACTAGCGTGAGATGTATTCTAGGCACCTACCGGTTTATTGTACGAATGTATTGCACTCAGCCTCTGACCTGATGATGTAATTTAGGGTTTCACGTGTAAAATAGCAGACAGCTTAGTGCATTTGATCCATGTACAAAGTCGAACACACCTTTTTATTAAAATGACGGATTAGAGTTCGGTGGGTATGGAGTTTATTGAAGACTAAAACAATTAAGTACTCCTTACTTATGAATGATTGTTCATCAAATGTTAAGTAATGATGAAAATCAAGTTTGGAATCTGAATTGTAAGCATAATCATAGACTGTGCGACGAAGAACTCTAGTCAGTTATTTTGCGTTCTCATATTCTTTAGTTTTTAGTGGTAGTAATTCGACTGTAAGATGATGAATACGAAAAGAAAATACGACTATACTTGATAATTGTATATAGAAGCAGAGGTCAGTGCATTTTATCAAAGTATCGTTCATTCAGGATGCTGCAGTTCACGTTGAATGATTGAAATTTTGTTTAAACGCATTCATGTAATATGACGCCATGCCTTCACTGCGCTTTCAGGGTGACTGCTCGCACATGGCTTGCTCCCTCGTTGTGCTATCATTAAGCACACTGTTGAGCTTGCTACCCAATCCAGTTAGCAGATAAGTTGTACAGTATTCTTTTTTATTCAATTTGACATTTAATCTGTTGTAAGAATATAATCCTCACCTGAGCACATTACCCAGTCACAAACATTTTACTTTGAGTTCGTTTATCTGTACTCACACGTTAGCTAGAGTACTGATCAGGGTTAACTGAGGAAACCAAGATTATTAGGTGCCGATGTGAAGGACTATCTAGAGGGTGACATTGGAAATTACAATTGGTGAGCCCGACGTGATAGTCCTTAAAGTCAGCACCTACTAAATTTGCTCTCCTCGGGTAACCCTGACCAGTACTCTACCGCTGGTGACCTCGGTCTCAAATGACATTTTGAATATTACACTCTGTCATTCTGTATCCGAAATACCAGGAGTTTTTGCGTTATAATACTGTGAAAGTGAAGCAGTCATTAGGCAAACTGGAGCAACTCGATTGTCCTACGAAATGCATCGATATAGAAATAAGTGACTAAAATACAAATTGATTGTGGAATTTATTTTGATAACTAAGTGTTATGAGTGAACTCTTTGGCTTAACATGATACACGTGTATTAATTTCATAGGGTTTGCTTAACATTGGTGGACATCAACTACGGCTAAGATGTGAAGTACCAGCACCTGTTTCCAAAAATGGTAACGAATACATTTATGGAGAAAAAGCGTTGGATAACATACCCTACATTCATTGCGCAACAATACTTGTTCGCCTTTTACCATATACAGAGGTAAGTACTAAACTGTTAGACTTTCTTTGCAAACTTTCGCGCTTTAAAACAAGTTCATTATGGCATTCAAAAGTTTACGATTAAATCCCGATTGTCATCCGAAAAAATGAGTTTAGCTTCCACCTTAATAAATACTTTTCGAAATCAATTTCTAGGAACCGATACCAGCACCAGATTACAAACTAAGATCATACCATTCAGAGGAATCTACACCTACAGAATTTGAATGGATTGTATATCGTCAATTTCAAACTCATGAGAAAAGGAAAATAAGTATACGTTCAATAGTGAAGATGCTATTACGACGTGAAAAAGAGTTTGAAGCGTCTAAGGGTAAGTATAATACATTTGTCATCTTTAGGTTTGTATCACTAACGAACGGTAAACAAAACATGACTGTTTTGCGTAGATTTTCCATTACCAGTCTGAATGTCTGTTTTGAAACCAATGTTAACTGATTTATTGAAGTATTTGAGTGTATATATATATGGTCATTTAGTTAAGAAGGCTTTTCAGCATTGATGATTCTAAATTATCTGTGAATTGAAGTCTACGCTGAAGAAGTTGTTCAGAAAGGTAACGAAAGCTTTGCAAATGAACGAAACAGCTCGGAAAACACAATTACAACAGTATAACAAGTATTATTCAACTTGTTTTGAATAAACCGGTATATCTGACTTCACCAATCCACTCAAATGAAAGTAATCAAACACAAAAGATCATCCCTCACTTCACACGAAAATAGCAAACAATTGAGAAGTACCAGCTTCAGGGTTGATGACAAAATGATCGTGATTAGTGGCTTTGTAATCCTCATCTTTAGGATGTTTGAAACGTAATCACTTTTGAAGCCAAAGTTCATTAGTCAAGATGGTTACCCATTTTTGTTTTTAAGGATTGATCTGAGAAATATTGTGGAAACGTTTTTGTCGAACAGATAAATGATAAAATTTGAATAAGGAGTTAATCTACGTGATAAATGACTGTAAACACTGATCTATATCAAGTTTGTTGTAGTGAATGCGATTCAGAGTTATGGATAATATATATAGTCCATAGTATAAATATGGAAGCAGAGGAGTTCTGCACAGTAGTTATATTGAATGTAGAGATTTTATTGTCATCCTACGCATTGCTGATTGTCCAGTTTAGTGGTACCACCTACCAGTCATCGGTGGCAGAGGACATCTGCAAGCAGATTGTGATGGTTAAGTATATGAGTACTTATGTTAGTCATAGTGTCAGCAAAGAGGGAAATCCACGGAATAGGTTTACGTAAACCTACGTTCAGATGGACATATCTTCTCTTCGGAGGTTGCAATAGGTTTCGCACTTGCAACCTGTAAGTTGAAGGCAGGTTCTTTCTGGTGATCTTCCTCTATTGCAGAGAGGACTCTGACTTAGGCATCAGTGTTAACCAAGTACATAATTTTACTAACAATATCTTTAATACTAACTAGGCGGCTACTGCCAGCTGGATAGGTTCCCATAGTCTTTGAATCCTTGCTAAAACAACAGGTTTTTCGGCAACCTTTAGCTTCCCGGCCATAGCCATTATGATGGTGACACCAATGTGATTTCGTAGCTGAAAGTTATTTAGATTTTGCCTGCGGTTCTAGGGAATGCAGGTCTGCCTGACCCAAGTAGCAACTTAACACAGCTACACAATTGTGTCGCTTCAAAGTCAATAGTCAAACAGTGTTTGCCGATCGATCGAACTTCAGTAACTGACTGCTGCGACATTTCTAACATTCTGTCAGCCTAAGTAGCTAAGTCATATATTGCGACCCATTGAAGTACAGTCTGTACTGGCTGTTGTAGTTTAGGTTAAAAAATAGCTCCCTGAGGAGTTCCTGATCTAAGTGCCATTAACAAATGTCTCCCAGCATTCGTGAAAGCACGTGTATGACCAAATTATCCTATAACTCGACATCTATTAAGAGTTTATCAATACGTCAGTGACTTCAAAGACTGTTTCTCTTGACAGTGACTGCCTTAAGCGTCTTGTAGGGACTAATTACTTCTGGAGTGAACAGACTTCATTTCCTGCGACAGATCAGGAACTGTGAATGTGGGTCAGTTACCGCATATTCATGGAAATCAACCATGCTTTTTCAATGTCTGTCCGGATATGAAAGAATTTTTGGAAAACATCTCTACCTCGTATCATTTGTTGTTAATACAACTTAACTGAAGAAGGATATAATTTTCTAATGAATTTTTAACATGCAATAGTGAATCATGCCTGAACTCTTTTTTTGACTTATTTGGCTGAAGTATCACATACTTATCAGTCAGCAGAAAAAGACCCCATACTCATGAGATTAACATTGTCTTCTATGCTTCATTTTGTTCATTTTCAATTTTAGATCAAGCTGACTTTTTAAATCCTGATTATTTACATCGTTATACACTAAAACGACTCTCCGTGAGACGAAATTTGACGGGAATTAATATACCAAATCAAATGGCTTCAGTCTTCCCATTTTTCTATCGTATTAATGAAGGTTTCCTGTTGAGTTTGAAAAGTGCAAGGGGATTAGTGGCAAACAGTAAGGAGCAGATTGACGTGACTTTTTTCCAACTGTTTCCAGCATTATTTCTTGTGGTTTGAGAATTATTTTATATGAACTAAAGTTTTGAGTGTGTTCCAATGATTCTGGTGCATAGTTTAAACTGAAACATTTAATTTTCAAGCGTTGGCTTGGAGGGATTAGATTTTTCTCAAGTTTCACCATGGATCGATATCAATTAGAGAACCACTGATTACAAGCTAGGAGTACTGGACAGCTGTTTCGTCCTAGTTTGGGACTCATCGGTAGTATGCAGCTACTGGGTTTTGAGCCTAGAACCTCCCGGTTACAAAGTAAGCCGGTAGACTTTTCAGCCTCCGAGACCCAACTCAACAGCCCCTGAGTTCTAACTTCTACCAATTCGTGACTTCAGAAAGACATGTACCAGCCAATATCATCGGCAAGTATTTGTCCTCGCTCCCGATGGATTGTATGATTTAGCAACTTACAGTGATAAATTAAATTGTGTGTCGGGTAGATACTACAACTTTGTGTGTTTATAAACATGATTGATTATACATACATGTATGCCGTACCAGTTGGTCAAATTACTTCATATGACGATTACGTCACACCACGACTTATTTAGTTCGTAGGGCCAACGTATTACATCAGTTACCCTTTTAAAAACAATGAAAGTACAAAGCGTTTCTTCAAACGTGGTGAAGTATTCCGTTTTTTCTTTGAATCAGCATATGTTACTGTTGTTTTACAGAAAAAATAACACCCCAATACATTAGAATAACACTAATAAATATGCATGTACATCTCTCAGTTTTGTAAGCCAAGTAAAAGTGAGAACCATTGCTTCAAAGGTGCTTATTTATGTGTAGAGGTTTCTGTGAGGCGAAAGATAAGATTCTATGAAAATCATTACAATTAAAAAGTGAACAGTAAAACAGTTACTCATTGGAGAGGAACCTTAGCCTTGATAATTTCGATTCTTATCCAGAAATTATTAGGAAGAATCAAGTAATTCGAGCAATTTTACCGGCATTACCGCTTTCTTATGCAAAGTTAACAAAACCTGAAGCCTTGAAAAGCTTACAAGAAAATTTTGACTTATACTGTTACCTAGATATGGGACCTGTGTCAGCACAAATATCACAAAGTGGTTATGCGTTTTTAATGCATATTATATTAACTTAAACTTGCGTCGGTGGCACGGCGGTAGAATGCTCGCTGACCATGCAAGGGGTCTGGGGTTCGATCTCCAGCCGACGCACTCCTCTACCTCGCTAAGCCGCTAATAAGACTGATAAAGAGGGAAGGTTGGGCATGAAAAGGCTAGCAACCCCATCGCGTAAAAGTAAACACCACTGGTACCGAAACTTCAACCCTCTAGCTTGAAGCCTTATTTTCCACTGGGAACGTAAAGGAATAAAAAAACTTGAGAAATTCTCAAGGTATAATATCAAGAATAACATTTTCGAAATGCTCAAAACCGGCAAATAAAGCCTATTTGAGTCTATTTAGGAGAAATTAGATACATCGAAATCTAGAATTCAGAGAACTAAACTGACAAGCGACCAGCAGAGGTGGGATAAAAACAAATAAACCGACTTAGATGATCATTAATACCAGAACCAGTGTTTTCCAAGGGCGAATGTTGTGTGCTGGAATTGTCAAAAGGAAATGATGATAGCTAGGTTGTTTTCACACAGACACAGGCATACAGTAATGGACGAACTGACTCACTTAACCCTTATCATCATGCTGAATTACATTTTTTCAGTCACAGTGACTATGATGATGGAGATTAGATAACTGGGGGTAAACTTTCCTCCACTTTGAGTGGAATTTCAGCATACAAGCCACCGTCTTGAAGGAAAAATACAAAACGGGCTTCTCTGCTGTCTAGCTTACATATATAAAGTAATGTTTAGAACTGAAGTTTAATTCTTCCTTTCACAAGTGCCACTTAGCAAAACTTGTCTGCATTGTAGTGGATAAAGTTCTGGAATGGTTGATACTACTGAATTAGTCAAGCTTATCATGAAATCATATATTTTCCCCATTTTAAACAGCATGAGTAATTAACACCGACATACTAGGTATCCTCTTTCGTATAATTACGGTCTCTTTTCTATCTAAAAATATTTACAATCACTTTTATTCTTTTTTTATATATTTCCAAATATCTATAAGTTTGTCATGTCGATTCTGATAATGACATGTTTTTTTAATTTTATTTAGGAGGTGACTTTATTTTTGCCCTAGCTAAAGTCATACGTGGTTCTGAGACTAATTCACTACCTGTGAATAAATTCTATGGTTATGGAAATGATGATGACTTGTTGTTCGTTAAAGTGAACACTAAATCTTATCTTGGTAATCCAATATGGGAAGATGAACCGAAGGTAGGTTATCCAGCCTTTCTTTTATATTTCAAATCTTTGTGAAAGCATGAGAACTAACGGTTAAGTGTTTGCTTCTGCATGTTGTTTACTTAAGTTTTATGTACATTGTACTGAGCAAGGAAATGAAGAATAGTGCTAGAAAAGACAAAAGACCATTCTACGACACACTGGCGGTCAACTGAAGCAGAACAGGCAGATAACTGGGTCTCTATCCGGGAAGAGATCGGCGCTGGAGAAACCTATAGCATATGGTCTAGGTAACATAATTATCAAAGAGGAGAGTCACAGAAAACAGTAGGCCGATCAAAGCAAAGGACTCCTGTGCCAATCACCACCTAGAAGTCTCCTGAAATACCACCAACAATCATGCAACCATCACTGAACCCCAATCCTCCAACAAAAGCAGAAATTATAGATGTAAATAAGCTACTGAAGGCTGAGAAGGCAGCAAGATGAGACGGAATTCATCGGGAACTGATCCAAAATAGTAAACGCAGTCCAGATCTTCATCACTCTTAAATCAGTTTGGAAATTGTCTGCACTCCGCCTCAGTAGCATTAAGAACAATATTTGGATTTTCAACACCAATGTTAATTCAGCCGCTGCTTTTATATGGGTCAGAAACTTGGCGCGACATATAATTTTATTTATTTTTATTTTTTTATTTTGATTACAGCTTGATGCCACACCGTATTTTCAGCACAAGTATGGAATTTTCAGCATGGATATCGGTAGCCCAAATTTTGCAGGCCGACCATAGATATCGGGTGTGCGTCGGCAGTGGATCGAACCCCGGACCATGTGCATGGTCGGTGAGGGTCCTAACCACTGTGCCACCGACGCACTTCCAGCACATAACTTCAGACGTTTTAACAGCTGCCTTGACAGGCTCCATTCTGAAGATTGGCTGGGCGGCCAGAAAGAATTAACGACAAGAAAGTTTAGGAAAAAACTAACCAAGAACCTATTGCTCAACAAATATGGCAAATGGAGATGGAGATATATCTGACACACGCGGAGGAAACTGTTGAATAACATCACTCGAGTGGAAGGTGAATGAGAAACGACGAGTTGGGTGAGTATCTAAAAGTTACATAGACGAGATCGTGTGAGAAAGAGATGTGAGACTATAGGCAATCTGTGGGCCAGCTAAAGAGAACAGCAGAGAATAGGCAAAAGTGGAGATGTACTGCTGAATCCACTCAGAATCCAGGGGAACAATAATTCAGTGATAATGATAACGCCAATAGCGAATGTCTAAACTAAGATGAAAGAAGTGGATAGTTTCTTTCGATGTTTGGTTATTACTAACCTGTATTTCTTCATTATATAAATCTAATTTTGCATTTTTATGCCTACTTTCCACAACTCTTCTGTTTTTCAGCCCACTAAACCATACTATGATTCCAATGCTTTACTAGTGATACAAATATTTCGAGTCCCTCTCATATTCACAATTGGTGGTTCAATAAATATAAGTAAAACAGATAATTGGTTCACTGCACAATTAACTTCCAATTTGAAGAGTAAAAGACGATTTTCGAAATTACGAAAGACACACCTGATTGGTTGGTCATTTGTGCGTCTCTTCGAATGGTAAATTCTTTATATTGCTTATAAAAAACAGTTGTAATAACTACTGAGTACTCTTCCATTCTTTCAATTTAGTTTGTTCGTTTTTCTAGTAGAGCACCCATTTCTGAAAATCAAATATATTGTTGCTTTATTTATAACAACTGATAAACCACTGCACCGTGTTTGTACAGCTGGAGGTCATCTAGCAACAGAATAGGTGACTATTTCGACGCAAAGATTGTCAAGTTTAACTGAAGTCGATTTTGTAATTTACGCCTAATTTTCCATTGAAATACAGTTTTCTTATACAGTAATAAATAGAGTCAGGAGTCCCTGATAAATTTAACAAACCGAACAAATTTTTATAAACTGTTTATTTAGTGGGTTTTATCATGGTTCAGCAGAGAAATGGAACCACTTGTTGAAGGCGCTTGATGATGCAACTTAGGATTAAGTATATTCGTGTAGACTTATTGTAACTTACCTTTATTTCATACGTATTGTCCTACTGTGGCGTGTGCTACTGGCGAGATTTATAAGTAGTATGTAGATACAAATATAAATATGTATTTCAGCTTCAAGAATATCTAGTCGTGGAGGGGTGCATTTAATGACAACGAGAAGAAATTAACGCTGCATATGAAACAACATGGAAAATATGAGTGGAACGTAGGGTTTCAACAGCACATCTTCACTTTCTTCTATTTGGTGCTGTCCATTTCAGCTGAAACCATGATTGCCCATGACCCCTCATCTCTTCCTCACACGATCTCCTCCATGTCACCCTAGGACGACCAACTCGTTGCTTACCATTTGGATTCCACTCAAGCGATGGCCTGCAGTGTGCACGATGTCACTCGACGGTCTCCTCAACGTGTTCCCGATCCATCCCCATGTTCTCCTACAAATTTGTTGAGCAATTGGCTATTGGTTGGTTTATTCCCAGCCAGCCAGAGTTTCTTGTTGCTAATTCTTTCTAGACGTCTACCATTTGATATTCATTATGGAACCAGCAAAGGCAGCTGTTGATAAAAGTCTGCAACCTTTTGGAAATCCTTTTTGTGATACGCAGTGCAAGTTTCTGACCCATTTAGAAAGGCCGACGTGACATTTGTGTTAAAAATCCGAATCTTGTTGTTTATGCTATGAAGTTCAGTGCAGAAGATTTCCAAACTGTTTTCAGATTGATGAAGGCGTATCTTGCCTTTCCGATTCTCACTTTGACCTCTTCATCAATTCTGCCTGTAGTCGAAACAATGCTTCCTAGATAAGTGAAGGAGGTAACCTTTGTGAAATCCCTCCTGTTGATGGTGATTGGTGCTGATTGTTGTTGTTGTTGCTGTTGGTTGTTTATCTTCATCACCTCTATCTTCTCTATGTTCACCTGAAGTCTTGTCTTCGCTGCCTACCTCTTCTGCCCTTTCCTTGGTTTTCGCCTGCAAGTCTTAGTGTTTATTTAACATTAAACATAATTCATCGGCGAAATCCACACCTTCTAGAGTATTCTTACCGATGGTACAATGTATTCCTGTCTTCTTATTCCTTTTGCACAGCCTGAAGTAAGGAACATAATCGGTGATAGCAGTCAGCCTTGTCTTACTCATATCTTCACTTGAAATCATGCACTGAGTTTTCCGTCACGGATCACCTGACACGTGGCATTGTCGTATAGCCAGCTGTTGAGTGGGGTTGATAAAGACTTGGGGCAATGCATGCCGTAATGTTGAAGTAGTTTCCAAATTACCATTCAGTCAACACTGTCTGTCGAAGGCCTTTTCGAAGTCGATGAAGTCGAGGTAGAGGTTTGACTGCCTTTCTATGCTTTGTTCGATGATGATGATATGTGGACTTACAATTAGACCAGCACATGTTTTGTCTCTCCTGAATCCAGCTTTTTCAGGTGGGTGGGACGGAGTTCTGCATCCAGTGCATGTTTTATTCACTCCAGAATGGTGCAACTTAGTACTTTACTTAGCGTGGACACGACTATTATTCCACGCTTGTTGTAATTCTAATATACAGTTGACGTATTTTGCCTATTTCTGTACGTCGAACTGTCAATAAAAAATTCCGTTGCAAATAACTCAAGTGTTCTGTCATTATAATTCATTTCACTCACTCTTTAGGCTGGTTTCAAGCCATTTTCAATTATCAGTCTATCTAATATGCGGCTATGGAATGTATTATATCTAAATGTGGCTTACATCGTACCGGAAAATATCACTGTTTAATAATCCTTGAAAAGTGATTCATCAGTACGCATAAAATCCTCTGAAGATACTTGGTAGTCTACAAAATATATAAAAATGATATGTAAACTAAACAGAGACTAAAATAATTTTAGTGTATGTGATGAATATAGCAAAATTCAGCGAACATCCTGATAAGGAAATCAAAAATGCGTCAGTTAAATAATGTATGTCTGGAGAACTTAATGGAAAATAAGGCTCTTTTATCACGATATCTGGACTGATGTCTTTGTTGTGTTCGAGGTAATATAGTGTTACTGTTATTGGTTACCATAAGGGATATTTAGTTCAGTGGTCTATTTGCCCAATCATATATGACGATAATATGTAAATCAGCATGCTGATTTTTCGGACTCACTTGTCCAGCTAAGTACATAAAAGTTATGACGGCTAGAGAAAGTCAAACTTGTTTTTAAGTGTTGTTTTGCAGCGATTTGATCCATTTCAAATTAGACCAAATTTTGACCTTAGTTAGAGCAATTCAAAATCAGGGGGTAGGTCAGCTGAAGTAAGAATTAGGGTATCAATGAATCTGTCCTAGTGGCTGACTCGTCAACGGTTACGAGTCCGATGCCTGCTGAGGTCATGGGTTCATACCAAACTAAGGTGAAATAACTGTCCGGTACTCTCTGATTTTCCACTACCCTCTAAGTGATGTCAGTTCTTGATCAAAGCTAAGAGTCAGATTTACTCAAGAGATATCATCGAATAAAGTATTATTCAGAACCATGGAGTACATCTGTTTTATGATAATTTTAACTCTTTTCTGGTTTGAATGCACGACTCCATAAGGAAGTGAAACTAGTTCTGTCATATATAAGGATAAAGTATGACTACTGAACTGTGGAAATTCTGTCACCTAAGAGTATAATTAATAAATATAGTTATAACAGGGGTTACTTTGGTCAGATAACTATTATTTAGCTACCTGAGGGATAAATTGTTGGTAGACATTTTTATGTAATTTTAAAGGATTAAGTGTTGAAATACAGCCTACGTATCCTGATCATCAAATAATATGCTGGTTGAATTATAGATAAGGACATATCCCTTTAAAACGGTATGCGTATCTTTAATATTTTGTTGAAAATCAATATATTAATGAGTTGTGTGCTACTGACAAAGTTTATCAGTAGTAAATAAAGGGACGTTCATCGGCGCACAAAAATATCACATAATGGAGTCATAGACTTGGTGTTAAAGAGAGCAAATGATCGGTGTTGCGGCAAAACACTGGAGACAAGAAAAGATGACAAAAAAACACACGGCAGAGGGTAGAAGTAGAACAACATCAAAGATCTGTGCAAATGACGATTTTCAGATAAGGTGTACATTATTTCCTTACATAGAGATATCAAATTCCGAATAAACATTCCGTTACCAAGTGTCTTGTCTTCTTCAGTTACCATAAAATTAGCAGTAAAACAGAAAATAACAAAGCGTTTATTGTGTGAAATGCTTCCGTTTAAGATTATTAATACAAATCTATAACGAACAGAAATTAATCGAAAATCACACTAAACAATACCAATAATGATTCTAGCTTTTGACGAAATCTCAAGGACGAATAACTGCCGCATACATCAGAGGAGGCTGCATGTTGCTTTTAAACTCATACTAGAATATAGTTCTAGTTCTCGTATGCATATATATGCATATCTTGTTCCATCATTATTTTCTTTGTTGTTTCAGTCTACGGTTTCAAGCAGGTGACAGATAAGTTGTTCTTTTTCTTTTCATTTCTGTCGCATATGATGAAGTCATGAAAGAACACGGGTCTGTGACTGATGCTTGAAGAAATCTGTCAATCTTCAGAATTTTCTATAGTCAGTTTGTAGAAATTTGAATCATTTCAAGTGTGGTCACGGATTAATATCATTTAGAGGACTATTGAAAATCAGGGGTTTTTGAATAGCTGTCTCGTCATAGTTTGGTACGACCCCACTAGGGGTCAGATCTGGGGCCTTGAAATTAAGAAGCTAAGTTCCTTGACTATTCAGACACTTGGGCCATGATTTAGTGACCCGTGAACACTCTTAGCACGATCGTCAAACATCATGGGCAGACGTTTTGTTAAAAGTAATTCAGTAAAAGGTGAAAAAGTTTGTACTTCTAACAGCACAAAATGAACTACTCAACTTTTCTTCATAGTAAAAGTCTATCATTTTTCAGCGGTGAATAAAACAGTTCATCGTTTGCAAAACAATCTCCTTTTATTTCAAGAAACTACCAACAAATGATGGGTATTCAAATTAGATAATCGAAGCTCTCAATGTTTTTTTTCTTTATACTGTTTTGTGTAGGAAGGCTTTTTGACAAGTTTTCGAGTTATGAGAATTGCAGGATCTCAAAACATTTTAAGTCATGAATGCGAATCTGTCCGTCATTTGATTTTTCACTAAATTTTCGGTTGGAGAACATAATTTCTTCTACTGCAGATGTGGAACTTAAACTATAAAAACCTAAATTCATAACAACTCACACACCTTTCTAAACGATTAAGTTAAAAAAAGTAAATGGCATTTATTTCAAGTCCGACCGCGGGTTGGTACCAGTTAGACAAACAGTGAAAACCATTGAATATTGGGCAGCTGTTTTGTCCCAGTTTGAAACTCATTGTCAATACGCATCCTCCGGGGTTTGAACCCAGGACCTTACAGTTACAAGGCTTGATCGTAGACTACTGACCAACTAGGACCCGACTCAGTGGCACACGAATTCTTACCCCGGTGGGTGCGTACTAGATACCAGTCTCAAACTAGGACGGAACAGGTGTTCAACGCTCCTTGGTTTTCAATAGTTCTCTAATTGATATCAATCTGTGGTCAAACTCTAAACAAACCGAATCCCTACGAACTAACCCTTTAAAACACCATTTGTTTTTATTGTTCATCTGATTACTGTTCAAATATTATTCACAAAGAACAGTTTGCCTGCAATTTAATTGGTAGGTTTTATGCATAATATCTTTCTAGAATTAGCATTTCTTAATTTTAGGGGATTTCTGCGTAATGGAACTCATGAACTATGTGTACTGAAACCACCAATTCGTTCACGTACATTGAGTAAAATCCAGAGTGATGATGGAAAAGCTGCGGCGATATGGAGGACTGATAGTCTTTTAGTAAGTTTTCTACCTAATTCACGTCTAAATCTCAGAGCTATATATATATGGGCATGCATCTTTACTTATAAATCAACTGTCAGTTTTTGGAATTAACGTTTTCGTCTATCGGTTATTTTCAAATTGCTCTAACATTATAGAGGCTAGACTGAGAAAATATAGACAATTTTTCCAAAGTGAGATTCTCAGTTATTATGTATCGTCCATAAAGTATTAGTTAATTTTACGTCATGTCAAGTTTAGTTCATCACTGTATCTAAATGAAATTTCAGATTATTCACTACTTACTACCATGTAAGACTCATCAAAGTAATACATCACCCCAGACTTAAACCTGAAATGCTGAAAACCATTGGATGAGATAATTATCACTGCTGCAGTTGCCCCAGGAACAGTGGTAGTTGTGAAATGCTGTGTACCTCCGATTCTCTGTGGAGCATTCACCAGCAAATGTTCATTGGATTTCGTTCTCTGTGTTCGTGTTTGTCTACTTCCACAATTTCCCATAGGCTTTCGCTTCCTCCCTCATTACAACCTCGGAATCCTGAATGATCACTCTCAATTCGAGTTACACCCGCAAACATCAGTCGAATCTCTAGACAAAGCAATAAGAAGACGTAATTTGTCTGAATCGTGTAATTTATTAACGCAACACATTTCGAACAATCTACTCACACACGGACTTCTCATAGGAATATACGTCTGAAATTAATAAGGAGTTAAGAGGTGAGAAAATAGACTTAGGTCAAGTTAAAAGGACGTATTAGAGGTCAAAATAACAATGAAGATCACTAAACCAAATAACAGAGGTAATAGTACATCTGCTATGGCTGGTATCAAAACAAAATTTACCATGGAAGGTATAGTGTGATGACGAATTGTTTCTGAACGCATAAAGGTGGTTTAAACTTCCTAATTGCTAAGGCTTCTACCAACTTCAGGATATGCTCCAAACATGATTTATAGATGGGTTTAAAAGATGTGTGAACACCAATCTTATGTCCTGTATGTTTAATGTTTCCAGTAGAGGAGCTAGGTCTCCTGTTCTCACCATTAATGGGTTCAGGGGGTTCTAATTGCTTTCGAAGCCTTTTAGGAATATACTCTGAAGTCCTTACTTACAGAGATCGATGGGTCCTCCCTATGCATGTGTCTCCACAAGTACATTCACACTGGTAAATACATTGGGATGTGACGTCATTTTTCACATGTTCTAAGGGCTTAGATGGATATAACGGCTTCATATATTCAATTATTATTATCTTAGCTACATAAAAAATGTTTTTAACCACGGAGTTAAACTCTGTTTTGATACCAGGGTAGATGTACTATTACCTTTCTTATCTGGTTTAGTGATCTTCATTGTTATTTTGACCTCTAATACGTCCTTTTAACTTGACCTGAGTGTATTTTCTGACCTATTAACTCTTTATTAGTTTCATACAAATTCCTATGACAAGTCCGTGTGTGTGATCAGATTGTTCGAAATGTGTTGCACAAATATGCACATTACACGATTCAGACAAATTACATCTGATTGATTTGTCTAAATTCATAAAGGCAACTAAGTGTTTTAAATGCATCTGTTGCCAAAGTCTTTTAATTCCTGAAAGTTGATAAGCTACGTATACTTATTATATGTATGTGCATAAGTAAATTACAGGTTATATAGTACTGTTATGCTCACTGTACACTTTGGTATTATTTTGCCATTAATACGTCAAACTCCACAAAATAATCCTTCGTAACTGTTCCTTAGATTTATTAAAGTCTTTAACATATGCAGCTACTGACTGGTAATAATGTTGATATTTCGATGAATTCGTCATCAGGTTCTACATTCATATGACAATAAAAATCAAAGAATTAATGCTGTTATTGACCATATCATTGTTTTATATTACACTGAATCGATAGCGTCGACAGATTACATTTCAAAAGCATATTTAAGAGATTTTATACATTAACATAAAACAAAACTGAATATCAGAAAAATTAGGGGGAGTAACAGAGAGTTTATGTATATGTAGGTTCAACAGCACACGTGGGTAGTATTAATGGCTCCACTCACAGCTGTCTCTTCCTAGTTTGGGATTCTTCAGTAATACACACCCACCAGGGTTAGAACCCAGGTCGTTCCGGCTACAAGTCAAGCTTGTAGACCATTCAGTCACTGGGACGAGGTTGAATGACTCATGAATTTCAAATTCTACCAGTGCGGGACTTCAGTGCGACCACAAGCCAGTATCACCGTCAATTACTTTACCCCACTTCCTACCGGATGGACCCTACTGGTCACTAAAAGTATAGGCGACGCTGTACTGCAGCTGTTAAATTCGTGGATAAATTGTCTACAATCCTGCCTTGTAACCGGAGGGTCCTGGGTTCAAACCGTGGTCGGTGCGTTCTGCTGAAAAATCCCAAACTAGGCTGACAAAACAGCTCTGGTTGTTTTCAGTAGTTCTCCATGTGATGTCATCTCACGATGAAACTTGGAAGAGATCAAGTCCCTACAAACTAACTCATTCATATCAGTTTTCATTTTTAAAACGAAACTGATGAACACCCTCATGGCTGAATGAGATTGGACACTCAAGAAAAGATTAGTGTTTAGTCACTCACGGAGGATAAACAAAGTTATGAAATGCGTACTTGTTTAATATATGGAGGTTGCAACTGGTGCTTTCACTACAACTATTTTAGTGTGCTCATATAGAGGGACTAATTCAGCCCAATTAAACTGCAACTGAATTTTCTTTGCTGATTTATCAAAGTTACTGGAATAGCAGTTACTCTGTAAAGTTATTTATCAGACTGTTTCTGATAAATCACATTGACATCATAGCTGTCAATTAAGTGCTAAATGTGATAAATTTGATACCTGTTATTTTTATAAAACTTTTAAGTGAATATCACTTATGCTTACATCTAATTGAATTTTCAGGAAAATGCAGTTTTAACCATTCACCTGCAAAATGCACGTTTTCTTGATTATGTTGAAGAAAGGAAACCAGAACCACAGGCAAGTTACACTAAAGTTTGTTCGTAGCGTTGACTGCTTTTTCGATATAATGACTTACACAAAATCTTTGGTAATATTGTCAAGAATAATGTGATTGACGCTGTTAGCAGATAATCAGGTATCCACAGTTATTTGAATAAAGCAAGAACTACAGTTTTTGCAGAATAAAGTGGTACCATCATTGTTTATTTCGTTGCCTTCTCATCAGCTGCTTACAGACCAAAGTTATTATAAAATATATCTACAGAAACAACTTTAAAATACTTGCACAGAGTTCATTTTAAACAAAAATCAATCAATGTATGCACACAGTAATATATATATACATATATATATATATATAATATTAAACACTATTCCGAATAATAATGATCATATACAATGGAAACTTTTGACATTACGTAATCAAATGAAAGAGAGGGTGAAAATATCCAGTTACCAGGGGATGGAAAGACTGATAACTGTTTCTTTTTGAACGCACAAATTAGGTTTCAGGTGCCTGATGGAGATTGCTTTGGTTAACTTTAGGGGAAAATTGAACTCCTTTGCCTATTGATAATTTTAAACGATTTCGCGACGTCCAACTCATGACCAGTGTCAAGGAGATGCCTGGCGTTACCACTGTTTAAAGCATTTGTTCCCTTTAGACATCAGCTTTTTGGTACATGTTCATAAAATCGTAGATATGCCCTTTTTTATGTCCTTCCAATGTAACTGCTCTCACAGATACACGTAAATCTGTATATACAGTTGGAGTCAACATGAGAAATGATGGTACCACTTTATTCTGCAAAAACTGGAGTTCTTGCTTTATTCAAATTCATTAAGGGGAATAAGTGGATCAGTTTTACTGACATTCTGTAATACTTCATGGGATATTTCTCAAAGAATTTGAGGCCATAATGTGCACTACAAAACTATGAGATGTTTTCTAATACAAAACATTTTCCTATAAAGGCCTTCGGCCAGCTGTATTCCTGAAATCAGTCTCTAAGGCCTCGGTAATCCAAAGTATACAGAAGCGTATTGTTTTCGGGAGGCTTCTTTTAACTTTTTAGGTAATTTTGAGTAAATTCTCCTTGCATACTGAGTAACCAGTGCGGAATATATGTTTAACAAAGATAAACTGTCGCATCTAACCACTTCTGTGCGCACCTACCAATTCACTTGTTCATGTGAAGTGAGATATGTAAGTGGTTCAACTCACATTTTACCTAAAAGAGTCAAATAACATTATCCTGCTTGACTACGAAAAGGTAACAGTGGGTCAATAAGCAGTGCTATGGCTGTGTTTACAAAACAAACAGTTCGACTGAGGTTATTGATATGGAAGACAATTAACATTAGAGCAAAGTAATATATATATATATGGTTAAACTAGTGGAAATTTCTTGAAAATAAACTTCCGTGAAATATATTTCATATTTCTACTTATTATCTTTCTATCAACTTGAATTTGCATTTAAGTAACACAACTAGAATTTAACATTAAATTCAGACATATGCGAGGATGGTTACGTAATCACATGAAAGAATTTTCAAACAAAAAGTTGTAAAAGGTCAGTAGTAAAATAAAGATATTGCGTCGGTGGCATAGCGGTTAGGAAGCTCGCCGACCATGCACATTGTTCGGGGTTCGATCCCCAGCCGGCGCACTCCTTTACCTTGCTAAGCCAGAACTAAAAAAAGCTGGTGAAGAGGAAAGGTTGGGTATGAGGCTAGCAACCCCATCCTGTAAAAGCAAACACTGCTAAAGAAACTTCAAGCCTCTAGCTTGAAGCCCTGTGTTCCTCTGAGAACGTGAAGGAATAAAAAAAGAAAAATAATGATATGAATACATCATGAGAGTAGAGGGATACAGATACCAGATTACATTATAAAATATCATATGTATTTTCTATGAATTAAATACAAGACACCAGATCAGCATGTCAGAATGTCTAAAGGTGGTAAGTAGATAAAACACTTCATGACCACTTAAAATTACTAAAGCTATCGCCACCGGAAGATTGAAGCCGAAATTGGGTGTTCAAAAAGAAACTATTAGTAACTTATTACTATCTCCAGAGCTTGACTACGACTTCATAGCAGTTAGAGAAACATTGGAAACCAGGGAGTACTGGACAGCTGTTCCATCGTAGTTTGGGACTCATCTGCAGTACGCACCCACTGGGTTTCGAACCCAGAACCTTCCGGTTACAGCATTGAACAAACCATGTAAAAATCATTATCTTGTATCTTGGCTATTATTATTCCCCTAGTTCCGAGTGGAACATAGGGATTCAACAGAACGTCCCAACTTTGTCCTATTCTCTACGGTCCTCTTCAACTGGCCCCTTGGATTACCCATAAGCTCCCACCCTTTCCTTCCCACAAGACCTCCTCCATGTCACCCTTGAACACGTACCCAACTCGTCGTTTCTCATTCAGGTTCCACGTGAGAGTTGGTCTGGCGTGTGGTGTCACTGAACGGTCTTCTCAATGTGTGTCCGATCTATCTCCACTTTCTTCTACATATTTCTTGAGCAATAGGCTCCTAATTAGTTTGTTACCAGATTTCCTTGTTGCTAATTCCTTCCGGCTGGCCATCTGAGCTTTAAAATTGAAAAAAATGAAGGCAAATGTTGATAAAAGTCTCCAGCGAACTATTGGTAAAACTGTTCGTCATGCCAAAGACACGAAGCTGATCCATGTAGAAGTGAATGAAAAATTGTTGTGTTGAAAATCCGAATTTTTTTCATTATGCTGAGTACAGAGGACTTTCACACTGATTTCAGAGTGATGAATATTTATCTTGCCTTCCTGTTTCTGGTTTCAAAATTGTCATCCCTACCACCACCTATAGTTGAAATGCTGATGCCTAAATAGGTGGAGGAATTGATCGCGTTCAGGTTTTCCACGTTAATGGTGATTGGTGCTGTTTATTGTTGCTTTTGGTTGGTTATCTTCATCACCTCCATCTTCTCTATCTTCGCTGGAAGTTGTCTCTACGCTGAATGACTCTCCTGCCAACTTGTTGAATCCCGCCTATAAGGCTTCGAATTTGTATAAGATTAAACATAAATTATCCGAGAAGTTCAGATCTCCTACAGTCTCCTTATCGATCCAGTATATTCCTGTATTTTTGCTCCCAACGCACAACCAGTGGAATAATCCGGTCCACCACGGTTGTGAATATCAGTGGTGATGGTATGCAGCCTTGTCTTACTCTTGCTTTCACTGCAAAGGCTTCGCTGTGTTTTCCTCTACGGATTACTTGACATTTATCAATACCATACAGCTTCTGAATGAGGTTGATAGAGATTTATGTCACCTTGGTTACTTTTTTCCAATTATAACTGTAATCTTCGCCCGGTAAGAACTTTTACGGACCTAAGTTATTCCTAAAGTAATAGAACTGCAGTGTTTAATACACAGTGGTTAGGACTGTCGCCGACCATGCACATGGTCCTGGGTTCGATCCCTTGCCGACGCACACCCGATACCTATGGTCGGCCTGCAAAATTTGGGCTACCGATATCCATGCTGAAAATTCCATACTTGTACTGAAAATACGGTGTGGCATCAAGCTGTAATAAAAATAAAAATAAATAAAAAATAAATAAAATGAAGCAAAATCTATTCTCCTTAATTATAAATGTGTTTTTCACAACCACACAGCCCAATTATTCTCAACTTCAAAGTGATCAACTTGAGAAAATAAACGAATATAATGAATCCGATGAAAAAGTGAAACAGCTGAATGAAATAAATTTAGATTCAATGGTCAGGCATAGAGCTGAAAAGGATGCCAGCTGGCTGGAGAATAATCAAGATGGAACCGAAAAGCTTTTAACAGAGATCCACGACCTTCTTAAAACACAAGTGGTAAGTTGAGAGAGTGTGGGTAACTCAAAGAAATATCTACCAGCTTAGAAAAGTAGATCGAAGTTTATCACGTAAATGCAAAGGCTGTGAAAGGGCTAGTGTTATCATGAAAAGAATGTGTAGAGTTGATCTTTTCTATAATTTTAGAGAAGCAGGATTGTATTCATTAGCTGATTGAGTAAAGTAAAGCACGTATCTAATTCCGCTGAGTAGGAGTCGCAGATGATTCGGTTTTAACTGTGTTATAATGATTAAACAAGAACACCGAAAAATCAACTTATCAGATAGATCTTTTGGAGATGGAAGGATGTTGATGTTTACGCAAGGCGAGTTCTATTCTCCAACTTCTATATACTGCTTGTTCTGTTTAGACAGAATGCCAAACGGTGTGGATGCTTGACTAAGAACTTTCAGCTTAACAAGTCCACCTAGACGGGGAAGGTCAGCGTCCAATTTTGAGCTGAGAGAATATTGTAGTCCATTAATTTTCGGGAATTACTTCCCACTGTAGATCTCTGAGCTCTAAAAATCTAATTGTGATGATAATACTTAAGTTGACATTGTTTATCATAGCAAATGAATATTTGACTAAGTGTTCACAATTGATATGATTATGAACAATAAATTTTGTTCGAAACGTCATCCAGTAAATAATACTGTTTCACTGTGTGATATACCTAATAAACAAACTAATATGGACTAAGTGTTCACTTCATCTCTATTTAGAAATACGAAGTTTTCTTGTTTTTCTAACATTATTATTTTTATCTTATATATTCTTCAACAGGAAAACTGTTCATCTAAACAGGAATATATGCCGTTATTTGTTACAAGGTTATAATTAAACTTACGAAGTGGACTTACCAACTGACAATTCGGTGTCCTATTGTAATCTTTCGATAAAAAGTACAAATACACATTTTTATGTTTAAAATACAATAACCGCCTTACTGTTGCTATGACTACAGATGGTTGTGATTCAAGTATTTTAAAGGAAGAAGACAAGAGACTTGGTAACAGAATCTTATTTACACAGTGAGTCGGTGGCTCAGTGGTTAGGACGCTAACCGACCATGCACATGGTCCAGGGTTCGATCCTCTGCCGACGCACACCTGATATCTATGGTCGGCCTACAAAATTTGAGCTACCGATATCACATGCTGAAAATTCCATGCCTGTACCAAAAAATACGGTGTGGAATCAAGCTGTAATAAAAAAATAGGGAATTATATATTCCCATACATTAAAATCGTCATTTGCACAGATCTTGGATGTTGTGCCACTTCTGGCCTTTGTATTCTGTCTTTTTTGTCTTCTTTCCGTGTCTCCCATGTTTCGCTAAAATACCGGTTCGTTTCCCTCCTTTTACGTCAAATACATTTCTCCTATATTCGATATTTTTATGCCGATGGACGTCTCTTTATATATTACTGATAAATCTTGTCAGTAGCAAACTCTAAAGTATTCATAAAAAGGCAAGACATAAAATCGGCTCTAGAAATAAAAACAGGCGATTTGCAGAGATTCTTATTTGTCAGATGCTTTCTCTTCAGACATTTATGGTAGTTATTTAAACGAATGATTAATAGGATTTAGAAACAACGTATCATTTCAGGTTCTCATTGGGTTAGCGGTAATCTCTTGCATTCTACAAAAATTTGATAAAACTAGTTAATTTGTCTACATTTCAACTCTATATCACCAAACAATAGTGGCTGAATGTTGCAAGGTTGAAAGTCAGTTGACCATTATCACCATATCGCTTTATTATGTTTAGTGGGAATCGGGTTATAAGAGTACAGTGGAGTTGGTTAATGCATGGAGAAATATACAGATGTACACAGGATCTTGAATAAAAGTGAGTCACTCCAAGTTACCATACTTTAAAGGCATAAACAAATGAGGAAGCCAACGGAAGTAAAGTATTGTTACAATTCGCGAATTTGTGACTGTAAGAAGAGAAAATTAATAAAGTATTTGTTTGAAGATGCTAAAATGAGGACCATTCTGCCTAAAGAATGACCAATATCTGATTCTAAACACGTCGGGAATCTCAATTAGGCTTAGACCAATAGCAAACGAATTAGCCTAATGACATATTGGATATTTAATTGCAGTTTTGACCAGTAACTAGGAATGAACAGTAAAGGTGAAGACTATCCGGCAATCTATTCAAATAAATAATCCAGTTTTACAACATTGTGTCAGACCCAAACTAATTGGGAGTGATGATTGACGCAGTTTTAATTCCTAAAATTATTGTTTTTTCAGGGTAGCACAAATGACTTTCTAACGAGTTTCAGCAGTCACAAAGACTGAGTTAAAGACATATTCTGCTGAGCCTGCTTAATATCTCGTAGCTAAGCCATACTATTTGGTGTCATCTTTTTCCTGTCTACCTATGCATTTGTTCCCATCCCAATTTGATTTCCAGCTAACACTGCTACTTCAGAGAGGCAACTATGCACGCATGATACATATCCCAGCCTCAGTGAATAATTTTAGTGCCGCTGGTTGTTTAGTTTCATTGAGAGTGAGCAGCGTTACGGAAACATTAATAGTCGAAGCCAAGTAACGTCTTTTTATTGTGTGTTTCAAGTGACTATGCTCCGCGATCATGAAGTAAGCTAGAAAGGACTGCCACAAAAGAAAATACATAGAACTACGGCAACTGGGACACGCTTATGTGTCCAGACTTTTGATGAAAATATATGGTTTGCATTTAGAAGCAGATAACTAAATGCATATTTGAGTATGAAAACAAAACATATTTCTAGGAGGCTTGATATTATATCCGTTCTTATGCAGAAAGAGTATTGAAGGACAGCCTGCAGTCAAAGTCTAGTAAATGCTTGTGGACTTCTTCAGTTTCATCTCAACTGACTGATCAAGGGGACTGTTCTAGCAGGCTTCGAACAGGATACCGAGTGAGACCCACTCAAATGTAAGTTTACCAATTCTTTGAAACAACCATAAGCAGTGGTTGATGATGAAAGCGAAAGAAATGGAAAAGACGTCAGAACTGGTCAATACCCAACAACTATTTAGCCTGATTGGGGTAAACAGAATGATAAGTGAAACGAAATCTCAGAAGGAAGCAACTTCTTTCTTCTCTCAGAACGGACTGTTGGAATAGTGGAGAGAACAACTACACTACATCTGCTCCCCATTATATCCCTACTTGAATGGAACAAAGGTACCGGTCCTTCAGCTGTGGCTGAGGTTACAAAAACTGTCTCTATTCTAAAACGATTCAAAGTATCAAGACCTGCCAGTATCAGTACAGTGATGTTTAAGGATGGTGGTGCTGGATTATTGGCTAGATTAATCAAATTATTGACCGGCATATAAGAATTTGACATGTTTTCATCAGATTGGTATGGATCGTTGATTCTCTAATGATAACTACGGGTTGATCAGATTGACTAGCGCACTATCTAAGACTCTAGGCTCCATAATTCCGTGGAAACTGACTGTAAATAGGCTAAAGCATGCCAGATTGAACGAGGTAGGCTTCAGGCTGGAAAGGGGTACACCAATATTATCTCCTTCTTTCAACAGGTTCTGGAACATAGGCATACTGACCAGCGTCCAACACTTCGAGTATTTCTTGATTCTTAATGTATCATTTGACTTCATAGAGCGAGAGGTGTCGTGACATTGTAAAGGTATTGACAAGGAAATGTTTCATGTTAGTCAAGGTACTCTGCTCGAATCCAAGCATTATTGTAAAAGTTCAGAGTTTTCGTCTGTGTGTCAGCAACAACCATTGGCACCTTTCAAGTACGGAGAATGTCACCGTTACTACCTAACATTATAGAAGTAATGATGGATCTGGTTATTTTTGGTGATGACCTCCTATTGTTTAGCTTATTCATGGCGGAAAGTTTAGTCAGCCTAAATTACATTGACGGCATTTTCCTTATGAGTAATGACTCTGACAGAATGCAGTGTTTTCAACGTTCTGAATAGTAATCTATGTTTCGTACGCTGATCACCTCTTTCAAATATAAGATGATGTTGCAGGATAGGTGGTAATGAGGTTTGACGTATTGTCCATTTCACTTATTTGGGGAGTTTCACTTACCATAGTGAACTTGTCGTTATGGATACAGTGGGCTCGTTCGTCATTCACGAAACTGTGTCACCTTTGGCATCAAAGAGTTTTTCTCATATCAGTCAAAGGGCGTGTAACCAGCGCAGAAGTCCATCCCATCCGTCTCTACGAGTGTGACAGATTATCGGTGAAAGATAATAAAAATATTTTCATCTTTAACTATAGGTGCTTGCGTCCTATTTCGTGTTACGTGATATAATATGGTGCCCAATACTACGATTTAGCGTAGATTGCTAAGTAGGAAGCGGAAGTCAAGCGATCAAGTTTTGAAGACCCTCTGATTGAAATGATTGGGATATATGTTACGTAACCCTAACCACCGCCTTCCTCAAAGACTGATCTCAGATAAAACACAATTGTATCGGAAGAGCATTAGAGTTGGTCAGGTGAAAACATAGTTCAAATCCTTAAAGTTTTGAATGTTGGTCTGGGACATGTAGGCAGGTACAAACTTCTCGGCTATGACCCTTATTAACCTAAAAATTAATGGTCGGCGATGGCGCACATGACGCATTCACCCATTATCATCTAGATTCCGTTAACTGTCTCCGATATATCGTCATCCATTGTAAATTCATTACAATTCATTTGTCCAATTTCACGTGTTCTTCTTCAGTGTGGTCAGCAAGTCTCTGCAGCTTAGTTGCTTGAAGATAGGTAACCAGATACCTTGCAGACTTCAAAGGAGATGCGAGATAGTGAATAGTATGTCTCATAAATCCACGTTACCAACCTGTCTATTTGAACATATGCTGTTGTCTTAGTAAGGAAATTAGTGGTTGTGGTATCATTTTATACCATAAATAGAAGAGGGGCAGACTAACTCGTTAGCATTCAACTGAAGTGAAACTCATCAAACACACGTAGATTTTTACTTAAAGAGTTCTTATGAGTCCGTGTATTTCTAGTGTCTTTATACAGCAGTATCGGATTCAGATCTACAACTACTATTAGAAACTAACAGTCTTATTTATATGAAATGTGATCAAGATTTGACCGGATAGTAGCAAAATAATTGAGCGCTGAGTGAGAAGTAGACATTTATAAAATTATATTTGTAAAATCTCAGCGAAATTGAAATAATTAATTCCAACGTTTCGTTCGGCAATCTGGTCAGAACTTCTTCAGGGAAATTAATCGAAATTAACATAACAGAGGTTTATATATAAAAGGAACATCTTTAGTTTTTGAAACTTTGTCCAATCATGAGCCATAAAACAGGCATCATGTGATTGTTATTTGTACTAGTAGTATTGTATTTCGCAATGACCGAATTACAGGAACTCAACCAAAACACTGAGAGTGATGAATTTAGGAATTTGTATTTGGCGGAATTGTATTTTCAAATCAAAATAATAAATATATTAACAAACAACAGTAAGTATTTAAACAATACAAAGATAGAAATTGTCAATCACCACATCCGCCACATGTCGAATGTCTCCTTGCGTATTTATAATGAGGTCTGAGGTTGCTTGCAAGTCTCTGGGATCTTCTAACTGATTCTGTGATATTATTTTCATCAGTATCATCTGGACTTATTTCTGAATTATCTACAATATCAGGATTAGTAGCGGAATCATTAAAATTATAATCGGAACGACCTACTTCGTTTATTCTCACTTGATCCAAGTGTCTGTTATGAATTGAATGATCTTCGATGTCTAATATTTTCACCATTCGATTTCCCATTTTTTGTAGTATGATTCCAACAGAAGGTCTA